CCTTTCTTGAAGCGAATTTCTCACCAGCAAAATTGTTCGCCAAGGACAAGAACAAGGATGTCAGGTCTATAAGGTGGCTGTATGAGAACATCCCAACTAAGCTCCCGGAGTTTCTGGCGAGTCACTTTCGATGTGTGTGGCCTGGCGTTGTCCTGTTGGAACGCAATTCCTCTCCTATTGACCAGTGCTGGCCGCTTCTAGGCGATTTCTTCCTCCAGACGATCCAATTGTTGACAGTACAGTTCAGAGTTAAGAATTTTTTTGTGAGCTCATAGTAGAAAATTCCTTGCCAATACCACCAAACACATGACAAAACCTTCCTGGCTGTCAATCTTGGCTTGGCCACCGTTCCCGCCGACTCAACCGTTTTCGCTTGACGTGGTCCTAAGTGATCCACTTTTCATCGCCAGTCACCAATCACTTCAGAAAAGGGTCGATTTTGTGGCGATTATGTAGCGATTCGCAGATGAAAGTTCGGTCCATGATTTTTTTTTTTTGCGTTAATTCGTTCGGCACCCATATATCGAGCTTCTTTTCGTATCCAGCCTTATTCTAATGGTTCAAAGTGGTTTCTTGTGCAATCTTTAGCACTTGGACAATCGAAACAGTGCTTACTTGACGATCGGTTTCGACTATGTCCACAAGTTTATCGACATTTGCGGTGTATTTTCTCTCTGCTAATGTCCATTTTTGACGCACGCTTAATCTAAACCGAATCCTATCCAAAAAAAGTTCTTTTGTATGAATTGTCACCTTTCTAACACCGTCTAGCGGAACCCGATCGGACTTACACAACGCGAGATGCGGATAAATAACGTTATCTATTGGAAAAATAATGGATTGCTTTTTACTACACCGTTATATTTGTGCGTGTGTGCAATAAGAATTTGTAAACTAAACTAAATATATTCTTTTCGACTTAATCAAATTACAGTGATAAGTTATGCGTGACCATCACTACATTAAGCTATAGTATTGAGGAAAATATTAGTAGTATATAAAAATTAATCTGGAAACGTCATGTTAGAACATCTGGCCATAGGATAGCTTCTATTAAACTCTCTATCTATAAATATTCTGATTTTGTATAAGAACTCCAACGAGTAGCTATGTGTAGAAATTTAAAACTTGGCACTCGTTTCATTGAAATCGGTCTGCCTCAATATATGGATCACAAACTATATGTCATTAAGTATGGGAATATGGATCTTAAATTTTTCAGTGGAGTAGCTAAGACCAATGTGCATTATGTTTCAGTAGTTTATAGTCCAGAGCGACCTAACCAGAACGAACCACCGTAGCATATAGTATATCGTACAAATCGTACGAAAAATTTGAGATTTTGGCTCATAATTGGGTATGTTGGTATTCGTATCTAGAAATTAATATTGTATCTGAAAATCATTGCAATCGGAGGACTATGTAGTGCAGCGCCCATAGCACCGATTTGTTCGGATTTGAGATTTTAAGCCATAAGTCCGTCAAAAAAACATCCAATAGCAAGAAATTTGGTATTTTAAAAATATATAATAATTACAATTTGATACAGAAATCGAAATCGGACGACTATAAAATAAATGTAGCTTCCAAGCACCGGTTTGCTGAGATCAGAGGTTTTGTGTCAAAAAACCTTCAAAAAAAATCCGAGAACTAGAAATTCGGTATTCTACACACATATGTAGAAATAAATATTGATTCTGAGAATCATCGAAATCGGAGGACTATATAATGTAGCTTCCATAGAACCGAGTTGTTCGAGTATAAAATCCGCCAGAAAATCATCTTAAAGTTCCCCGAAAATTATCTAAATTGGCAAACTTTACCATATGGCCTACTACAAGAAAATTTTTAGTTATGAGAATTAAGATTTCATCCTTAAATGAGATACCTTAAATTTGAAATGGTCATCAAAGGTGTACAGATTTCACCATCGACGAAGACAGCTCTTCTTTCTTGTTTTAACTGAGTGATGTCCTACAAAATTCCAATTGGGCGACATCGCATCAGTTTCATACTAGTTAAATACTAGTTTAGCCGTGTATGTTGAATTTCCACGATACCAAGAGATTAACAGAATGAAAATACTTAACCAAAACCACGATTCGTACATTGAAACAATGACTTTTCAATCCGATAAATAAATTAAAAATAGATAGAAATTAATTTCATTTCCTTTTGCAAAAATATCATCATCTACAGGAGAAATCTCTTCACTACGCTACTATTTTAATGCACGCTACTGTACTTTTTATTTTATATTATTGTATATCGATCTTGTTCGCAATTCGAGGGCATCGCCATTCGCAGGATTTCGCCAAGCGTGACCACCAAACACATTGCACATACATACATACATCCATTTTGCATACAATGCAATACATACGAGTACATATGTATGCACGCATATGCCATATCTACAACTACTGCAAGTTCACAATTTGTTTACAAATGCACAGTTATATATATGCATGCTTGTTACAATGTAATTACAAATACATACATACACACATACATAGCTACATACTATATGCATATGCCCTCCCCACTGGTGTTAGTGCCAATAAAATGCTTATAGTAGTAATTAAATTCACCACCCCCACAACAACAAAACACTAAAACTGCAAATGCAATTTGCCACAAAGCTGGACAATGGATAGCAGATAGCGTGAGTGGAGAGTTCTTCGCTTGAGCATATAAAATGTGCAACGTTGACAATGATTCTTGCTATTGTTGTTGTGCCTGCTGTTGTTGCTGTTGCTATTGCTGTTGCTGTTGTAAAGAAGGCAATGACACCATCAGTTACGACCAAACAACAACAGCGAAAAACATACCAACAAAGATAATAATATAATTGGCGAAAGAGCAACAAAAACAACGAGACAAAATGATTTAATGTCGACATATGAAAATGCAGTTATGTTTTTGATGTACAATAATCACGTCTGGAAAGCAAATTGATAGACAATAATGTTATTAATAATGGATCCGCTGTAATTGGCCGATGCTCCACCACGACCTTGGTTGCCTACCTTAAATGGTTTTTATGCCTTAACGGAAGAGTACGAACGACCTCGCGATTGTACAGGAAAGCTCAAACCATTTGTTCGCGACCTGCAAAAGAACGTTGCATACAACAACACAAAATAAGCAAGCTGAGTCCAATTAACCGTTGAAAAGCACCTACCCGACTTAAAGTGTTGCTCAGTAAAAAACTTGTATTATTGTGAATGAGCCACTGATAAAACCCGAGGCTCACTGAACGTTGGAAGTTTTCAGAGACATCCAACAACAACACAAAATAAGCAACTTGAGTCAAATTAACCGTTGAAAAAACACCGACCCGACTTAAAGTGTTGCTCAGTAAAAAACTTGTATTATTGTGAATGAGCCACTGATAAAACCCGAGGCTCACTGAACGTTGGAAGTTTTCAGAGACATCCAAAATCAGACGGTTTTCCAATAAGATTTGATATTTTGAATAACCAGCCATTCCGCTAGATTTTGCTCCTGAAGCTGTGATTTATTGACATCCGACAAGCAGAAACTACGCCAGCAATAAAAATCGAACGATACATGCTTCAGCTACGCATTGAAATTTTTAAAATTAACTATGAAAATTGTGAAAACGTGGCAGGAATGGTTCGTAAAACTAAAATATTTTTCGGTCGCCGTGAAGCTCCTTGCCGGTGGAAAAAATGGTGCTGTCTGGACAAGTGATGTGAAGAATAAAAACGTGAACGTCGCTCAAGAAGAACTCAGAATGTGCTGCTGTAGCCCAAAGCATTAAAGAAACCCCAGGTGTGTCCATTCCTCGTCCTCAAGAAATCAATCCGGCAGATTATCAACAATTTCGTGTATTTGCTGATCGGGCCCTACCAATGTACTCGTATGAAACTAATTCGGAATTTCATCGATAAATCAGCTTGACTGATGAGGCTGATTTCCCTTTCGTCGGCGACGTGAATAATCAAAACTGTCGAATCTGGGGCTCCGAAAACCAAAATTTATTGTCGAAAATACTCTCCATTCTCAAGGTGTAACTGTTTGCTGTGGTTTATGGTCCGGCGTGGTTAACCTTATGTATATATAATTGGCGCTTTGTAACCGCTGAAGCGATTTTCGGCCGATCTCCTCCTCCGATTTGTGGTTTTGCGTTTTGATATTTTTCCAACAAATGGAGGGGCCTACAATTTTTACTGAGCCGCTTCCGAACGGCTGGCGGTTTTTTATGAGGAGCTTTTATTTCAGGTCAGAAATACTTTCGGAGGGGTTGGCATTTCCTGCCGAGGGGCGACCGCAATTAGAAAATTGAGTTTAGTTTTTTATTTTAATTAATTTTCTATAACTTTTAGGGTGTTAGTACGACACCAGGATTTGTAATGGCAGTACGCGATGCTAACCACTCGGCTACCACGGCCGACCTCCGCGGTTATTGGACCTTACTTCTTGAAAAATGAGGATGGAGCAAAAATTCCGGCGAACTGGATGGCATTGATCTGGCTAACGTTTACTTTCAACAAGACGACGAGGAAAATGTTCCCATACCGTGTTATCTCTCGAAGAAGTGATCGCATATGGCCACCGAGATCTAGTGATTTAACACCTTTTTTGGGATCACGTGAAAGATAACAGAGAATTCTAAATTAAACCTGGTCTCTGGGTGTATGGTCATTGATAAAAGATCCTTCGATCTCACACAATCTGTCCTAGAACAAAAGTATCTGGGTTAGCGCATAACACGGTCTTAGCCTAACGTACACCGAGCTGACGTAAGGTTCATCAGTTCAGCAGAGCACAAAAGGTCACCAAAGGGATCTCCAGCCGAGCGTAGCAAAGCTATTAGAAAAAAGCTGCGTTTAAGTGTATCAAAGATGAACGTCAATTCTCCTTAACTAACCCGCTAGTATGACGTCATATACGAGTGCTTACTCTCCCACATAATCTTCTTGTTTTGAAAACAAACAATGAAAATGAAAATTGGATTGAAATTACATACTTACCAGCAATTGAGCTTTTTGATGGACCCCAAATCGGATTGCTTGGAGCGGGCAATGACCATTTCCTCGGTGAGGCGTGTCATTGTGTCTTTGTTTTTTCTTTTTTGTTGTTGTTGGTTTTATTTTTTATATTTTTAGCGTAATTTATTTGTTTTATATAAGTTTGATATCTTCTGTTTCCGGTACTTGTATTACTGTAGCATGAAGAAAACAAAAACAAAAACAAATACAATAAATAAAACACTTCACTTACACTTGGCAGATATGCGAGAAAGCCTGTATTGAAAGCGTCTTTCACAAGCGCCAAGAGGCTAAGCCCAATTACACAAGTTAAACGCAGGGAAATAAATAAATCGAGAGTACAAAAAGCGATGTAATGAAGAAAAAAACAAATGCCAACAGGTTTTTGAAGTGGTAGGTTTTTCTCTTTATAATTTACCGCAATTTCATAAGTACGCAAACACACACACACACACGCACAACACATATGGATACACACAGGTAATGCAATGCGTTTTTATTTTTGTATTTTTGCTTTACGTGTAAGCTATGTGTGTGTATATAAATGTGCAACATTGCAACATGTTGCAACAATTCACTGACGTTGCCGCGTAATCACTTTATACACTCTTCCCTTTTTTGCGGCGGCTGGCTTTCCGCATGCGTTTGCTACGAAAATGACTAATATCCTACACACACACACACACACACATACACACACAACCATTTCTTTCTTTTTGCACTGAAACTTTAATGACTTTAATGTCTGTATGTATATATGTATATAAGTACTCTGCATGTAGCTAATAAATATTTTATTATTTAAAATTGCTGCAATTATTAAACTTCACCGCCGCTTCGTCTATAAAAATCGAGTTATTCTCTTTCTGCTTCTTTTTGTCTCTTTCATCCTCTTTCATCTATGATATTATTTTTTACCGCCTACATATGTATCGACTTACAACAATTCTCACTTTTAACAACAACATGTTGTTGTCACTGTTTATAATTGCAATAATTGCCTCAAGCAAAGTACCCACTAGGAAAAACATGTTTAAATCATAAAGGTATAAAGGTATGTACACGGTGTGTACTAAAAATAACCGAACTTTATATTTAAATCATACAACAGACAGCGCCATCTATTGAACATTTGCAACATTAAAAATATACATTCATCCTCTTTCCAACGCACCTAACATCATGTAAGTCGGATGACAGATGTAAAAGTGACAGTCATTTCAATAGAACCAAAAGTGCGCTAATGTTTCAAAAATGAAATGGAACAAAGATCAAATATAATATAAAATTTTGTGTCAAACTTGAAAAAAAAAATTAATGAAAAAAGATTATTGTGATGATTGTATGAGTCGTACGCAAGTTTATACGTGGTTTACACGATTTAAAAAGGGTCGTGAGGATTTAAATGACGACCCTACAGCAGGACGTCCAGAAACTAGTAATCGTGCTGAACTGGTGGAAAAAGTCCGTGAAATCATTGGTATCGATGCAAATTTTAATACGAGAATATTGGCTGAGGAATTGAAGACGAGTAAAAACACCATTTGGAGATTTTTAACTGAAGATTTGGGGAAAAGAAAGGTCTGTGCGCGATTTGTTCCACATAAATTAAATGACGACCAAAAAATCGCTCGAATTTTAAATGAAAGAAGAGATTTCTCTCATCGACCATCCTCCGTATTCCCCTGATCTATCACCATGTGACTATTTTTTATTTCCAAAACTGAAAACCAAGATGAAGGGAGCATTTTATGAAGATACCCCAGCCATTCAAGCTGCCGTAACCGAGGTACTGCAGAACATTTCTATAAATGACATAAAAAAATTTATGCATTCGATGGTTGATAGTTTTAAACGTTGTGTTGAGTTAAATGGAACCTGTTTTGAATAAATAATAACTTTCAAAGATAATATAATGTGTATTTTATTTTATATCCAAAAAGTTCGGTTATTTTTGGGTCACACCGTGCATGTATGTGAGTTTATGTGCAAACATATGAGATCTTCTACCTCTAAAATTTAACAAAGTGTGATTTTTTTAGACAAGTGGTTTCCAATGCACATAAGTTGTTGTTTTGGCCAAGGATTTCCATTAATGTTTCAAAAATATTTTGAGACAAATTACAGCCATGGCCGGCACGCATCTAGCCGAGAGGCACAATTTTCGACCACTTTTTGCAGCAATTCTTGGCGTATGTCAGCAATAGCTCGCGGAATATTCTCTTCCAAGGAGTCATTTTTCTCGGGCTTAGCTGCATAGACAATGCCTTCACAGAACCCCCACAAAAAATAATCCAGCTGTGTTAAATCACACTGGCACACGACGCGAGATATTGCGCTCCCAAAAGTTTCCATCAACAAATTTATTGTTTCTCCAATTTAGGTGTGAAAAAAGTCATTCATCATGGCTCTATAGTGTCCCCCATTGACTGTAACATTATGGTCGGGTTAATTTTTGTAGAAATATATGTCAGACCAATGATTGACCCTGCCCATAGAGCACACCAGACAGTGGGTTTTTGAAAATGTAACGAGGTGTCAACTATGGCTTGTGGTTTATCATAACTCTAAATGCGACAATTTTGTTTCTTAATGGACTCATTCAACCAAAAGCGAGCTTCATCGCCGAACAAAATTTTCTTGTGAAAATCAGAATCAGTGACCGTCTTGTTTTGGACCCATTCACCGAACATTCAACATTTAACTTTGTAAGTGCGTAGATAACTTCAGAAAAGACACCTCCCTGACAACTCTTAATGAGGTTTAAAGCTCCGAAAATGGAGCCAGTAACTTCCTTTTTGTTACTGAAGTCTTTCTAGGTACGAACGCCGACACCAATGCAAAGTTAAAAGTTAACCAACTCTCAATGAATTGTTTTGATTTTATTTTTAATAAATTGGATATAATGGATAACTTTGGAAGAACTATCGTGTGAAATCTGCGGTATTCTCTAGAGAATGTGAGAGTATTGAAGAAAGTAAAGAAGACTCAAAGGGATGTGCATCATCCCTTTCATTAAATTCGTTGTTTAATAAAGACAGACCAAATTGTTTTGGGAAATGAAAAATATTATAATAGTCTAAGTCGTAGAAGTATTTTGGAAACCAGTATGTTTTCTCACCGAAAAGGTTTCTTTTGCCAAGTACTCGTTTACTGTATGCTTTTCTATATCAGTTATTTTTTCTTTTTTTTTTTCTTTTTTGACAGTGAAGTTGTCTTCCTTTCTATTTCTTCGTCTTCTTTGTAATATTTTTGCAGAGATTGAAGATTGTTGGAGAGGTCTAATTGAAGTAAAAAACTGAGGTCTGATAGGCGAAACCATTTCCCCCATACACCTGATGGAACGACCACATTATTAAATCACAATGACTCTCCAGCAGCGAGATGTGTAAAAATATGAAATATACGAGGTGACTAACAAAAGTTCGATTAGTTGATTTGTTTTGGTAAATCTAAATATATCGAGTCCTTTGCAATTTCTTTATTAGTCTTCCGTTCCAATTTTAGAACTATCGAACAATGGAGAAGAGAAAAGAGCAAGATAGCTGAGGAAGGGTCAGACGAAATTCCATCATCAACGCAAGCAAGAATTCGCCATGCGATGCTTTTCAGCCAATACAAATTTAAATAAATGAATGTTTTTAAGGACTTTTTCTAAGTGGTTCCGAAGATTACAGACCGTACAATTTCCGTAAAGGACGAGCACTGAGTAGGTCGACCCAAATCATCCACTGATGACGTCACTGTAGCTCTGGTGAGGTCTTAAATTGACAATTGATACCAGAAATGATTGCTAATGAATTGGGCTTGAATGCCATGGTTGTATTGCGAAGTAATCATCTGGGATACACGAAGAAATCTGCTCGAAATAAGGTTCAAGTACATTGTGCTCAATTTTTCCTAAACAAATTCGAAAATGATCAGTCTAGCAACTTTAGTAAAATCATTAATAGTGACGAGTCTGGGTTCTATAAGCACGATCCATAAACCGAACAGCAGACCATAGTATGGAGCACAACAGAAGCCCCAGCCGCATATACATATTGTCTCTTTACGTGGATCTAATTGTAAAGTGGTGCCTAATCTTGCTAGTCCATTTACCTCACAATTACCGCGAATATCCTTATGGAACCTATTGTAGATTTATCGTTTAGTAAGATGCTAGCCCTGCCAGTAGATCTAGACACCTTTTCACCAAATACGATGTGGTCCTGAAAGGCTTTAGTGATTTCAAAGCAGCTTTGCTGTGTATAAAATAAAAATAGGGAGTAAGAAATCTATTTATTAGAAACCGAAGGCTCTCTTTAATTACCGCAATTTCTGCCTGAGAAGCAGTACAGTGATGCAGTAACTTGGTTTCGTCAGTATAGATGATTATTCCTACTTCGAATATTGATGGATAAATTTAACTATTTTTTTCTAGAAAATTACGAGAATCCTTAATATTTGCTGAGTGCGCTGGAATGCCATTTTATTATATATACATACATATTTATACATATTTGGCGCATTGTAACCACTGAAGAAAAGTACACTGGGAGGGCTTGACATTCTCCGCCCTTATTACAGGCATCTAATAGGTAGCTCAGCACGATTGCCGACTTCGCAGCTACTCGTAGTTGCGTAGTTGAGAGCAAATGCAGTACAATATTTAGTGCCCGAATCGGTGTTGTTCTAGGAGCATCACTATCAAATGCAACTTTATCTAACTTAACTACTAATTTCATTTTACATGCCCAGTGTTAATCACAGCTCGCTTTTTCCCCTACTATTGATAATAAAGTACCTTTTGTTAAGGAAATTCCCTCTAACTGACACAGCCGTATCATCTACATGAACACCTTTATTTTTTAGTTAGCATGTTATTCCCTATTCTGAGCATTTAAACAATGAATAACAACAACAATAACAACAACAATTTATTCATTGTTCAAATGCTCAGAAGAGGGAATAACATGCTAACTTAAGGAGTAACCCTTTGAGCGGAGCTGCATATCGTTGAAGCTCCCAGCGTTGAACTAATGAACCTGTCTAAAATCACCAGTTCAATTAATTTCACAACGGATGGCTACTCAGATACGCAGTTCTGTTAGGGCGTTCATTCATAGCTGTATTTAAATGTCTAAAGAATCTAGAAGAAAGAGACTTGTTATGAACCAAGAATGTTACTGAAGAATAGTTCAGCTTTTACTATTGTATTATCCTATGTAAAAGGCATTGTGATGACCTACGAAATCAATCAATCGGTCGATTTGTTATCAGTTTTATACTTGTTAAATACTAGTTAAATACTAGTTCATTAATGCGTGTTGAATTTATACTTCGCTTACGTTAAGATTTGAAACCCGGAATCTTTTGTCCTAATAAGTTTTAATGGCTTTTTAATTACCCCCAACGAATTAAACACGCTTCCAACAATTTAGCTGCATGAGACCACTTAATTTACCTACAGGGTCAATTATTGATGTAAGTACATACAAACATACATACAAGTTGAGCGCTTGCGACTATATGTGAGAATGTATGCGTGTGTGCTTTGGGATATGCAGCGGCAGCAGCATCTATTGTACAATAGCAGCGTGCGTGAGTATATCTGACAGATACCACTAATCACTTAAGTACACGAGTAACTACAAACATATGAATGTGCGTATGTATGTATGTAAGTGGATATTGCAGCTACAAATAAATATAAAACTTTTTATTTAAACACGTTTTTGCATTTCCACCGACTTTTAACGCTGCCTCAAGATTTTTGTACGCTTTGCTGTTATTATTTAATTTTCCTTAATATGTTTATCATATATGTACATATATATGTTTGTATTTATGTATGTATGTATAAACGTGTGTTTTAATTTAAATAAACCTCATCGATTTTTCGACACTTTCATACGCATTCGCTGCTCAATATTTGTACATATGTATGTCCATGTGTATGTTTGTATATTTCCACTTCGCATTCAAGAGCGTTTAGCAGCAGCATTCACCGTTCACCACTTTCTACTTTTTTTTCTTCGTTGCAATTGTTGTTGATTTATATATGTGATTTCTATATATATTTTTTTGGATCTGCGATTTGCAAATTTTCTTGAATTTTTTTTCAGTATTCCGCTATTTTCACATGTATTTATTTACATAAATATGTTTAACGAATTTGTACGAGTTTTTCACAGCAAATTTTGGGAATTATTGAAAGTTTAACGAGTGTGTTTGGCAAACAAATTTTCCCAATTATGTTTTTCTCAAAATTTTCTTCGATTCGCTTTACACACAGCAAGTGTCTGCGCTCACATCATCACCTGCAGTAGAGGCTTTTACGACGCTGACGTTCACGTTCACGTCGCATCGCCTTACGTGACTGCGCTACTGTGACTCTGCCGCCCGCCACTTGCTGACGCGCCGTTGTTCTATGCTCGCTGGTCCGTGTTCTGATAATTACTCACTGTTATTGGATGCATAATACATACATACATACATACATATGCTTATACATCTTTTATTCACAAATCTTTCATTTAATATTATTTAACATTTATCTTGAGCGCTGATAGTGCCGCTTCTAAATTTTACTACACTACGCACAGACAGCATTTACGTGTACATATGTATGTATGTATGTATTCCACATTCAACATTCCTCTATTACTTCTAACACATTTAATTTCCTGTTTTGCTTTTAGCCCAAAACTTACTCACTCTACACATTACTTTCAACCGCTGTCGAGAACATACACGCGCCGCGTTTGTGCTGAGACTGTCAGCGCTTACGAACAGCTGCTGCTGTGGGAGCTAGTGCTACGTTACATACATACATATGTATATTGTCGCTCCATCGGAATGTGTACTCCACGCGCTCGGCAAGTATATGCTTTTGTGTTTATTGTGTATGAGCTTTTTTTCTGCGGCGAATTCATCTTTTGTTTTGCTCCAGTGCACATGTGCTTCATGGGGCGGTGAAGGCTGCGGGCGGATTCGTGCGAGTTAGTAGTAAAAGCTGTATTTGACGGTTTTCGTTGATTTGTTACGAAAAGTCGGGTGATGTGGAAACGTCACAAGGTTGCACTTTATTTAAATGCGGTTTGTTTTTGTAACGTAAAATTCCTCTTAACTCGTGAGTCATGGCACTTCTTTGTTGTGTAAAAGAACCTACAGTGAACACGACTTTGCTTTGTCACTGGATTAGCTTCAAAATGTTTAGACCGCATTTATTTAGAAACTGAGTCAACCGGTGAGATATCCAATACGTGAACAGCCTAATGTGTTGTATTTTGTGTTTTTACTTCGAACTCTGATGTCGACAGATCTGGCATCGATCCTTTAGGCAGGCAGGTGAGTGAAATGCTGAACTTTCTTCTAAAGGAACAAATCACATAGGAACCCATTTTTCGTCACGTGTTTACCCGTCCATAATCATATATCGTCATATGTCGTTTCGTGTCGCTCATAAAGGAAAAATAAACGAGTCAGATATTTTTAATCAAAGCCAGACGATAACCGAACCTTCACGACATTATGGCGCTTCGAGAGGGAACCCTAATCGGCTGCCGCCATAGCATAACGTTCGAATTGCTGCAACGCAACCCAATTAAGATTGCATTTCGTTCCAAAATATGCGACCGATCTGAAGAACAATGGTGAAAACAACAATAGCACTAAACAATTACGGCACCAAAAGTAAAATGAATTTAAGCTTCAAAGTTAAGCACGAGGGACTATATACCCATATATCCATAGGGTATATAACTCAGCTTAAAAGAGAAAGCGGTACGAGTCGAGATGAACTCCTACGCTTCCGTACCAAAAAAACAGGATGACCAGTTTTTTATGTTTGTCCTTGTTCGGCAAGAAATGACTCAAGGAGATCCATCCTAATTCAGTTCAACGTCCGTTTATTCAGAGACAACTGATTTTTGCAGTCTCTAGCGAGACTTTGAAAACACAAAGGATGGAAAGCTCGTATCTCTTTCTTACCGATCTGGTTCTTGCTGCATTGCACGCAGAGCTTGGGACCAGCCAAGTAAAAAAATAGCTTATGAAAAGAGAGCATATTAATTATATTGATGCCTAAGGTCAGAATGTCTAAGTCGTTGTTGGAATGTGGTACTGGAAACTCCACCCTCAGTAATTGAACACCATGCTGTGCACTCGGTCAAATAATATTCATATGATGGAAATCTGATTGGCATGTGCATCGCTTACGCCATTATAGCCAAATCCACAATAGCGCGCAATTCGATTCCTCTCTTTGATATTTGGTGCTAGTTGGATATACAAAATGGAACCAGATCGCTGTCCAACTGATCCTTCCAAACGGATTGAAGATCTTCCTCTTACTTTTCATCCTCCTCTTCCTCTTCCTCTTCCTCCTCCTCTTCCTCTTCCTCCTCTTCCTCAGCTTTCACCAGCGATTATTGCATGGAATACTTTCAAAGCTGTAGCACTTTCATTTATACAGACGAAATGACTTAGTCAGCGTAGCCGCGGTCACCATATTACTCGTACAGCACACCGTTCCATTGTCTGCAGTATTCAACGTTGCAAATGTGCTAAGCACCATAAGTCGTTCGCAAAACTTTTCTCTCGAATACTCCCAGAGCCACCTTATTGGACGTTGGCAACGTCCATGCTTCCGCGCCATACGAGGTGCGCTCAAAAAGTATCAAGAATTTTCCCGGGTTACGTATAGCCGAATTTCGATTTTTTAGTGGTGTTATGTTGGTACTCGTGTCTGTCACTTATGCCGATAAGCTAGGCCGTTTTGAATATTCCCTTAATTGTTGACAGCTGCTTGGCTTGCACGTGTTTTGGAAGAACAAAAATTTACTTTTGCACCACGATAACGCCCCTGCTCACGCGTCGTTGCTTGTGCGCGGCTTTTTGGCCAAAAACAACACACTAATGATGCCGCAGCCACCGTATTCCCCAGATCTGGCCTTCTGTGACCTTTTCTTGTTCCCTAAACTGAAGAGATCCATGAAAGGACGACGTTACGCTACGATTGACGAGATAAAGACGGCAACGAAGGAGGAGCTCGTATAGTAGAACGGCAGTGACTTGAAGAGTTTGGTTTTCGTTCGTTTCAATTGCTTACTCAGTTCAAAGTAATACCTGTTGGCAAAAGTGCTTCTGGGTTGGTTTTCAAGGCTGACATTATTATTTGGTGTTAATGGAGATTTATGAAGTAAAATATGTTGTTGACTAATTTCCTCAATAACCAGCGAGCAATACGCAGAGAACGCTCAATGGACTAAAGAACTGTGAGCCGAAAAATTTGAAAAGAGAACTTACTTTCACTGAGCTCATATACATAGTAACTAACCTCAGAATCATGACCGCCGGAGTGGTCGGCACAGCGACGCTGAGAGTTGTTTAATAACCAAGGAAACTTTGTAAATAAATATTATGAAAACAAGCGGTAAGATCTTAATTGTCCAAAGCCAAATGGTAATAACAAACAATAACAACCGAGACATGGTGATTTCGAAAATAAATAAATCGTTTTTCAAACAACACAGATTTTAATGTCTTCGGGGATTTGAGTTTTTTCAGAAATAAAAATATTTCCAGACTTTAATTCGAAAAGAAACATTTCGCGAGAATACGTGTAACGCAATAAACAAATACACAGATAAATAAATAATATAATAAAATATATTTTTCTAGTGATTTTCACATATTTTTTTGCGCAAGCTTAGCATAAAGTCAAGTACGTGCCGGCTTCAAACAACACCAACCATTCTCTGCATAACATTCATAAATGATCTCACCTAGAAAGTCCACCTCGGCATTGAGCCTTATACCAGAGGAGCGTGGCAAATTGTTGCCGTAAGACGAGCTGCTAGAGATGCTTAACATTTAATTGTTTTATTCGTTGTTGTCTTGTTTTTTTTTTAACTTTTCCGTAGTGTCTCCACAAAGAGCTGTGAGAGTCTGTACTCCAATACATCGAGTTCGAAGGGTTCCGGCAATAATTTATTTCGTCGTAAAAACATCAATAACCATCAAGGTGCTGGCGGCAGTATGGGACGTCATGCTACCTTAATACCCGCCACTACAGAGGTGCGTCAGAGAGTGCTCTCTGCACGACGCTTACGTATGAAAACATTTCAAAACCAATTGGTCGATGCACAACAAACTATAGCGGTAATTAGATATTTCAAATATACTAAATAGCGCACAATACACTTCAACGTTTCTTGCAGGATCTCGCTCATGAGAATCGCATACTGCGCACACTGCACAAGCGTCAGGACTCAGCTTTGGCTAAATATGAGTCCACAAATGCAGAATTGCCCAAACTTTTGCACTCACACGCCGAGGAGTTACGTGTTTGGCAAGCCAAGTATCGTAATCTGCAGCAGCTCAATAAGGAGTTGGAGCACAAACTTAAAACAAAGGAGTCCATCATACTCACGCTGAGCGATCAAAATAAATACTACAGTCAATTGAATAAGGACAGGTGAGAAACATTCAAAAATCCAAGTTCCCTACGTATTGGAGCAAGCGCGATCAAGAATCACTGAGCGTTTATTAGTGAGTTGAAGTTACGTTCGGATGTGGGTGGCTGACGGCTTACTACAATTAACTCAGATTATTATTTCGTTAGTTCTTTGTGATACCACAAAAGTCACGAACGGTCAAGCCGATACCTAGAATCCGACAAACTCCGTGCCGAGTACGAATACTTTAATACCGATAACTCACTAGATATGAGAACCAAGGTGTTACAAGCTTAATCTCACAAAGACAGGCATACAAGGGGAAAGGGCTTCGTCTTCCTTTGTTAGCCCTATAGTGAAGTCTTTAAAAGCTGCCGCGTTTGCGAACTTTTTTGTAATGTGCTGAGATAGATTTACTAAAGATCTTCTTATATATCATTTAGCCCGCCGTTTATCCGTCTGCGGTATTTCCCATTAATTAAAGTGTACCCTTGTATTGGAAGTGGCCCATGTAGAAGTTAAGATAATCGGTTCGGTGAAGCCTGTGCTGGCAGCCGAAGGGAAGCTAGCTTCAGTGTAGTCGCTTCAGCATATTTAAAAATTCGCAAAAGCTGACGCTCTAATGAAAAGGGGAATAAGAATCGAAGTAAGCAACAACGAGCAATATTTTTTAGGGGCCCAGTTGGTGCTTGGGACAATTTGTTGATGGAGAAGAGGCTCAGAGCTTCATTTGGTGTTTGGAAGGCTCTTTTGATGGTTGCAAAAGAAAGATTTCGGGAAGACACTTGCGAAAAGAGGGGAAACACTTAGAGGGACTCAGAGCTTCAGTTGGTGTTTGGAAGGATCTTTTGATGGTTGCAAAAGAAAGATTTCGGGAAGACACTTGCCAAAAGAGGGGAAACACTTAGAGGCTCAGAGCTTCATTTCGTGTTTGGAAAGATCTTTTAATGGCTGCAAAAGATGGAGGCTCAGAGCTTCATTTGGTGTTTGGAAAGATCTTTTGATGGTTGCAAAAGAGAGGTATCGTGAAGACACTTGCAAAGGGAATATAAGCACTTAGAGAGGCTCAGAGCTCCAGTTGGTGTTTGGAAGGATCTTTTAATGGTTGCAAAAGAGAGATTTCGGGAAGACACTTGCGAAAAGAGGGGAAACACTTGGAGAGGCTCAGAGCTTCATTTGGTGTTTGGAAAGATCTTTTGATGTGTGCAAAAGAGAGGTATCGTGATACCACTGGCAAAAAGAGGGAAAGCACTTAGAGAAGCTCAGAGTTTCAGTTGGTTTATTTTTGTGAACCGCAAAGAGGTTTCGAAGTTATATTTACAGACAAATTGAATCAAACTCTTAAGTGTTTTTCGGACGTGTAAACATGACTTCGTACTCTATTTAAAGATCATTTGATTTATAAAAACTTATCCTTCATACAGAAATCTGGAGGAACGGCAACGTTTACAGGAAAAGGTAGAGAAACTGGAAACGCGCCTGCAGGAGAAGGATAACGACATGAAGCTATTGGCACGACGTGTGCAGATTGAAACGAAAAATTTCAAGCAGCAAATAATGGCGGAACAAAAGCGCGCCAAGGAAGCCGTGCTCAAATTGGAGAAAGCGCGACTGGAGCTGTCCGGATATCGCAAATTGGACGAACTGGGTGTAAGTGGCAATGAAATCATATTCTTTTGCTTCGTGATATATGTATTTAATACTATCTTTGTGCTTGTAACTTTCCCAGGATAAATTCTCAACGCTCACAGTGGGACGACGTAAGCCCAGCAGCGCTGAGGAAGAATCGAAATTGGAAAAAGATTTGGAGCGCATCTTAGCCGACGAAGTATTAGATGACGATATCAAAGATGTAGAAACAGACTTTCTGCCCGCGGCTGGCCAACGTGCTTTGAAAAATTCGCTCAACTCAAAAATCGAAACACCTTTAGGTTATGTAAATCGTAAGGTAAGCTCGTCCATTGCTTCCATGGTGCAGTCGCGCAAGCAGCGGCAGGAAGGTGGTGCTACAAAATCTGCTGTTAAGCAGCCACAGCCGTTATATCGTCAACAGTTACAACAACAAAGACAACAAAAGAAAACTCAATTAAAGGACGGAAATGCTTCCGAACATCTGGCGGCAATAACCGATTACGACGATGAAGACTATGAAAACGAACAGGATGATGAATTTCATGAGGCGAGTGATCGTCGTCAGAGTAATCGCTCCAGGCGTGTATATAATAATAATAATATGGACGGCGACGGTACCGAAAATGGTGATGAACATGAGGATGGTGATGAGGACGACGATGAAGAGGAAGACACCAGTATCAACGATAGATCTGAACGAAAGCAAGACGATGAGGTTGCATCCCATGAAACGTACAATGCTGAGTTATTAGGCGAGGAGGAACAAGAAGTGGAGAGTGTGAATGATGATAATGTCGAAGACGAAGATGATGTAAGTCTCAAATTCATCTGCTAATACTTTTACACAATGGTGCTTAATCTTTTGTACCAGTATATTGGATCACTTGAGTGGACCTACAGCTTATATTAAGCCGCCTCCGAAAGTCTGATGATTTCTTATGAGGAAACTTTGTTTATTTAATGGCACAAATACTTGGTGGTCTTGATACTCCCTGCCGAGGGGCGTCCACAATTAGAATGTTTAATTGAATTTTCCGAATGGCAGGTACCATCTTGCTCTAGCGATTGCATGTGGCGTTGAGTAGAATCTACAGCCCAAGAATTATTTTTATTCTTCTTTATTCCTGATCTGCGTGACAAAGAGTTTATTTAATTATTGGATCTTGCCTTAGCATCCAAACAGTTACAATTTGAACAGCATAATGGGGAAGTTGCCCGTTAAGTCAATAAAAGCTTTGTTCTGACTTTCACATTCAGATCGAGCCGGTACCACTTTGTTGTGAGTTGAGGACACGAGTTTTATGAGTGTTGTGCCATGTGGTTTCTTTAAGGTCGAGTTGAATTTTGTTCTATAACGTGGAGGCTCGCTTGAGGTTTACGAAGTAGAAAATAGCGTTCCAGGAAGAAGATATCGTAGCTTTTGTTTGAGAGCTAAAAGCTTCTATCTTCTGGTGAAGAATAACAATTCGACATTTACTTTGAGATCCGTGGCAAGGGTCACAAGAATTTCCAGCGTTTTGGTGCAAAATGTTTCCCTTTTGCCACCCGGGCTCTGAATGTAATGGCAGAGGGCTTGGAAAAAGCCTGTGATTTAGAGGTTCAATGCATGTATGTGTTGTTGTTGTTGTTGTTGTAGCAGCTCGCTAACCCCGCTTAGGTACAGGCCATCCAATGGGAGATCCAGGAAACGAGCTGTTTCAACGGGATTGGACCAAACGGAGAGGGGGGTTAGATGAGTTCGTTTAAGAGGGCGTGTGAAGAGGTAGTTCGTGACGTGTGGAGACTCTTCACATGCAGGTCATACGTTGGATATGCTCGGGTCGAGTCTGGAGTATAGTAGTTTAACCTGCTACAGTATCCAGACCTGAGTTGTGCCAAGGTCACGCGGGTCTCTCGAGGCACCTCCGGCTCTGTTGTCTGCTATGGGTGGTGATTTTACTCCGAACACGTCATACACTGGAAGGGAGTCTCAAGACAGCCGATCCTACGTACCGGGCTGGCACCCTTTCAGCAACCTAACCCCGCTTGGGTCAACAGGTAACATTAGTTTAAGGCATGCCTGTCTTTTGAGACGGCTAAAATCAAATAGTTGACGCCACAAACGAGTATTTAAACCTGAATGACAGGGATTTTTGTTCGGCCAAAAACCACTTTGGAGAATAATTTTTCGTTTACCAAAAAAATGTCTCAATATATTACCTTCTGAGTTACTTTCGATTTCGGTAAAGAAGATTTTCTAAGCCCAGACGATATGTGTAAAATTGCCAAGAACCGACTTGGCTATAGACTTTAAGTTTTTTTATCCCTTCATTTAGATTCTCTTTTGTCCTTTGGGAACAAATCACTCTCATAACTATCTTGGCAGGCTTCAGTGGATGAGACCATCTCAACAAGAGAACTTCGTAAAACTAAGTTATGCCTATTGTTAGAAACGTGTTTTCCTCATATACTCCTAAAGCCAACTCATCCAATAGCCCTGTCCCCTTGGTCTGAGCCCACCGAAGCAGCATGGGTTTCTGTTAAATGTTTGATTTTTACTTGTTCTTAAGCTTATATACTTCTTAAGTCTTTACAAAACACTTTTTAAACAAAAATTTATATCCATTTCCCCCCAACAGGTCTGCAACACAGCCAAGAAAGCGTCAAATATGAAGGAGGAAATCTCGAGCATACGCAAGCAAATCTCCCATGACTATAGGGAACGTGAAGCTTTCCTCGATACATTCTGCCGTCAGGCGAATAATGGTGCACTCTTAGATGAAACACCCAAGAAACGAGGCAATGTTTCACCAGGAAAAAATTTACCAAGCAGCCGTAAAAACAAATTGCTGGCCGCACTCAAAGCGATTGACGATAATAAAAGCCAGGATTGAATTGGATAGCTGACAAAATACGTTCTGTATAGGCTTCACGAATTGGCTGAAACAAACTGGGAAACGACATATACGAATGACATTCGCAGTGTTATTTTTTTCAAACTTTGCAAATACAAATTAACAATATTTTATGTAAAATTGTGTTTTATTTTATTTATTTGTCATTATACTATGTGTAAAGTAAATTACATACAAGTTCCTATACATAATCGGTATGTATCTATAACAGCGCAGTGTGTATGTATCTACATTAGGGTTCCTGGTTCTTACGCATTTTACTTATAGCACGCGATACTTTTTTGCGTACCTCCTTCTGGCGTTTCATCTTACGCGCTTCCTCAACACGTTTTTCAGCACGGAATTGCTTGAGTCGCAGTTTTGTCTCTATCTTATCACGATTTCTCTTCTCTTTAAAGTTCGTTGCAATCATTTTCATCATCTTGGCCACCTTTTGTTCATGTGGTGAACGTATAACCGCTATACGTTCCAACTCCTCTTTCTTCTTATCCGCTAGGGCACGCAATTTCGGTTTATCCTTGTATGGTAGCGCCCGCTGTAGAGCTTTGGGTATCTTAAGCGGCTTAAATATTTTCGGTTCACGTTTAATATTCGTATACTGACTATCGGGCTGTGCTTCATTGCGAATATTTCGTTCACGCTTCAATTGGCCCAGAGTCTTCATGCCTTGCCATTGTGATTTCTGATCTGCTGGTAGCAACAACGATGAGACGGGTGCATAGAAACGGGGAACTTCAACGCGGAACCATGTTCTACAGAAAACAATGTCACTCAAAAGAATTTTATCTTCAAACGTAGCACGGAATGAGCCGTCGGGGTCGTGATGAGCCTTCTTAATTTGACCACGTATACCAGAGACAGTTTTAATTTTGGCGCCCTCAAATTTCGCAACCTCAAGTGTGGTGGTAAACATGCCTTTAATGAATGCGGACTTTTTATATATTTTGAATGGTTGACCGACTAATTTCAATTTTTTCATAATCTGCGCTGACTTATCCAGTTCGCTGACACTACCTGTCGCCGCAATACGGAAACCGAGTCTCTTCATTTCATCTAAGTCATGACGCACGGTTTGCAATGCCAAGAAACCAGTATTTTGTGGCGTGATTGGACCCCAGAAAGTCATGCTGCATGTTACATGATTAGGTGTATACTTTAGATAGCGGTGTCTGAAGTTATCCTCTATCTTTGCATAAATGGGTACAGTTTGAAAGCGGCGCCAACCAAGGGAAATAATCAAAGGATCACCAGTCTTCAGTATCTTTTTATACCAACGGTGTTTCTTAACTTTACAATTAACATAACCGATATTTTCCTCAGTCATATTCAGACCACCTACTAATACAGGATAATTCGCATCGAAGTTCTCTATAAATTCAGCAGGTATAGCGCGAAAGCCTAGAAATAAATCTTAGTTTAATTCAATTTGTGCAAGTGAATTTGTTTCAATACACTTACCCAGACGTACATAAAGTCCAGGGCGATAGCCTTCTATTTGTAGTCGTAATTCGGGGTCAAGATTTGCAAATTCGCTTTTATTCAATTCGGATTGCTTTTGCGCATCCGCTTTAAGACTTTCATAATATTCATGATCGCCTTTGATTCGACCCTCATCTTCTTTTGAGCCATCTTTATTATCATATTCCGCATCGAATTTCGCTTTGAGTTTTAATTTTTTGGCCATAAGTTCTGCTTTTGTTAGATTTTCTTCTTCTACTCTAGTCATACGCCGTTTGCGTGTATTTTCATCTTGCTTACTACCGTCCCCATTCTCCATCGCAGTTTCTGTGCCATCCGCTCCTTGTGCATTATCATTGCCGCTATGTTTTTCGCCAGTTTCCAGATCTTCAAAATCACCATATACTTCACTTTCTGCATCACTTAGGTCGTCTAAACGCAGCAATGTTTCAGCATCTTCGGACGCTTTCCATTTGCCGGTCACAAAGCAATTTTTTAATAGCGACTTATTCTCTTCATCCAACCAATTACGCGTTGTACGGGAGAAGTCTTCGAAGAAACACTGTTCCATTTTGTCTCTTATATCTTTGTCCTTTTGTATGTCGGTTTGCTTTTTCGCTGCAACCTTAAAAAGTCCACCTAATTCCTCTTCCGAGTCCGAATCTTTTTTGTCTTCCTCGGCATATTTGTTATTCTATACGGAATATAGGGTATGTGAAATAATTTGGTTTACAGTTAATCAATATTTAAATACCTTGCTCTCGCTTTGTGTATAGCAGCCATATACTAGCCTCATCACATTTTTTGCCTCTGAATGCCGTTGTAAAAACGAATCTCGTGCTTTTTGCGCTAAATTTTCCTTCCAACTCATACTGTTGGCAAGTATTTTTGCCTCTTCCTCTTCACTATCTGAGTCCTGCTCTAGTTTATCAACATCGTCGTTATCGCTATCATCGCCTCTTGATTTAAGTTCATCGACGTTTTGATACTCCTCATCTTCAGACGAATTATTATCGCTGTCTTCCTGCTCTTCTTCGCTATTTTCTCCACGCCAATCGTCATCAGCAAACTCATCGCCGCTATTGTCGCTAGCTTCGTTCTCATCGTCTACACCGGAATCATCCTAGAAACAAGTAAGTTAAGGAATAAGAAATACAATTACTAATAAACAATAATGGAAATACCTCTTCAATGTCATCTTCATCATCATCTTCGTCGCTGTCTTCCTTATAGTCTTTTGATTTAATAGCCGCGCCGTCAGAGAAAAGTTTAAATTCCTGTTCTTCGATTTGTACATCAACAGTTTGTTTTTTATCGATAAGCTTTTCAACTAGCTGTTCTTGCTCAGCAGCTTCGGCAGTTTTTTCTTTGTGGCTATGAGAGCCTTGCAGTTCTATATATACCGCATCTTTATCGTAAACGATGCCACCAACTCCTGACATAGGCGCATACAATAGTCTTTCTTTTTCCAACAAGCTTCGTTTTTTCTCAGTGCCCGGTAACGGACAAGGATCGGGTATAGCACTTAGTTCTTCAATTCTTGCATCGCCTAAACCGGCTATATGCACCGAATGTTCTTGTTTCATAGGAACACCACGTACATAACCATATAGTACAATCTCTCTATCACACTTGGGATTACGTCGTATTGTGTCAGTATTGGTCACATCTTCAACTCGGTCTACAAGTAGATAACTATGTGCACCACGCCAAGATAGTGGTCGGAATTTCATTACCGAAATGAATCGACCTAAATTCTTAACTTCATTGCGCAGGTATTCACCATGTAGCAAACCTGAGAGATAGAACAATTTTGCTCCATCATATACTTCTGTCCAAAAACGATGTTTGAGTTCTTTTTTACGTTTCCTCAATTGCTTAGGATTTTTAATCATATCTAAATGAGTTAGAACACCCATAATTTTTGGCATACCATGGACTTGACAAATATTTAGGAATTCAAAAATTTCCATTTCAAATCCGTAACTAGCATCACAAAGTAGTAATACTAGATCTGCACATTTGGCAACGTCAATCATTGAATTGATATCGTTGTTACATTCCAAGAGTGTAATACGCCGCTTTTTCGATGTCACTATTGTGATGGGACCTTTGATATCAGTGACATTAGTTCGTGTAAAATTTTTAATCAAATTGTTTATCAATGTGGTTTTGCCCACTTTTGGTGGACCTACCACTGCTATGAGTACCGGCGGTGGTTCATCGGGAGTCTGGTCGACAACAGGTATATGTTGCTTTTTAGCCGTCAAATCCTCTTTACGTCGAAAATTGCGCTCAGCTCGTTGGGCAGAATTGATAGCGAATGCTTTTGGATTCCTTTGTCGTGCACTCAATGTGGGATCTTTGCCTCCTGCCTCTTTTTTAGTCTTGAGCTTTTTCTTCTCTGCTTTCACGCCAGCTTGTCGCGCGCGATGAGATTTCTTCTTGTCCATGCCATCATCCTCCGGCATGTTGATTTAATATGCGTATATTAAGAAATGAAACGTAAAAAATATAATCTAACCGCACGTGCAAGGATTGAATGTTGTTTTGATTGTCACACCACAATAGACATGTACATTATGTATCGATTATTATTTACAGAATGCCCGATTGAATGAGTCGATAAAATCTAGTATACCTTCAAGCCATATTATAACATAAGAATTTTATCACTATGAAAGCGGTAAGATTTTGCTGTTGATGAAAAGAAACTTTTAGCGAATTATGATGTACCATGTTGTATCATGCATAAGAAACTGTCTTTGTGTTATTGATCTTTCGCATCAGGACTGACAGTCATCGATAGAAACGTCAGTTTTCGTTATTGTGAATGGCAAGGACATTTCTTATAAAATTTTTATTTAATAAATTATTAAATAAAATCCTAATTATTTTCATATATTTTGAAAAAATATGTAAACCCCTTCTCTTTCCATAATTACGAGAATTAAATGAAAATGAGTTTTCATTATCATAAACCTTTGAGTAATGGAGTGCGTTCTAACGGGACCCTCTGTACTTTTCTGAAATTTTAGTTTTATTCTCAACGTTTAAAAAATTTTTTCGTTGTAAAAGTAACAACTTGTATATTATCGAAATAAACAAAAATCGAATGACTTCTTGAATAGTGTGATGGGTGTTACATTAAGTACTCACAGAACTTGGCAACTCTGTCGAATCGTCATCAGCAGAAATTATAAAAAGTAAACGGCAAGAAACGGAAAAATTTGCAAAGCTGATTGGTGTCGGATTCGATTTGGATCTCGTAGCTGCAAATGAAACGAATTAAGCATTTTGTGAATATTGATGAATAATTGTAGCTAAAATACCATAAACGGCAAGAAACTAGAAAATATTATACAGAACCATCATTAATTGAAATTTGTTACAAAGGAGGTGGCGTAAAAACCGAAGTGAAAAACGGACTAAAAAGGAACTGCGAAAGATTGGTGAGCCGCAATTTTTTAGTTAGACGTTAAAAAATAGTGTAATTCAGGTGAGTAAATTAACGTAAATAAACTCAGAAGTAAGTAATTAGTATTTCCCAATAGTATATAATTATGTCATTGACTAAAATTGATCCTTTATTTGTGACCATGGCATGCGTGGGGCGTGAACTTGCCAAGCTGGTTGTATATGCCTTCATATGTGAAGTAAGAAGGGGATGGTGAGGAGCAGTTGTGGTGTGGTTGCACTAAAACTAGCAAAAATGCATATTTGGTTAGATGAAATTAACTACAAAATATTGACTATTAAAGGTGTCAAAATTACAGCTGATAAAATATAGATGACAAATACATCTGTAAATTGACATACATACGAATTTACATATGTATGAATAAATGTGTTTTTAGCGTAGGAACAGTCGTCGCCACTTTCGACCGGGTTGCTGCCTTTGTTCTCCGCAAGATAGATGCAAGGAATGATAAAGAAACAACGACAAGTGATACCTACATTTATATATGCATATATATTTGCGTACATAGATTCATATATGGATGGATGTACATATGTTGCATAAATGTAGCTACATAATGTAATTCATTAGCAAGCACTTTAATCATGTAAATATTAAAATATTGAAGAAAGTTGATGTTTAACAGTTAACTCCTGAAATTCAACTTTTAGAAATAAGAAATAAAAGCTGCCTTTGTCAAAAAAGCTAGTGCAACACAAATTTCGCACCCACAATTATTCTTCCTTATGAGTGGATATTCAATTTTTAATTTACTCTAATATCCTGCGGGTGTTACCTTTGAAAAACAATGAATTTATAGATGAAAAATAAATTCTCAATCCAAACTGTATATAGTTATACACACATTTTTATATATATTTCAAGTTGTACAATTAAATCATAGATAATATATGTACTTAAATACATATGTATGTATTTACATAAATAAATGCTTACCGTAGAATGCATTTTTGTATAAATTATTTTTACATTGTTGGCGTGACTTTTTATTTCTTAATGATTTTTTTTTTTGTTTATTATTTATTTCTTTATACACTAGTAAAAAAGCGTCGCAATTTGTTTTGCTCTTCACTTTATATAATTTGGGTCATTTACCTTTGGTAAATGAACAGATTTTCACCCTCTTAAAACAGCTGTACTGAATTTATAAAGAAAATTTAAAAACACCAATGACGTCAATTAACTTTTTTTTTATTTATTTTTTTTTTTATATGCTTTTAGAAATGGAAAGCCCCTGCGAATCGGAGAGCTCTCTCGATGGAGGTACTATGCTTCCTCCCAGTCCAGTGTCGCGAGAGCAGTTGCAAAAACGCATTGAGTCGTTGACACAGCAAAATAAGTATGATTATTTTACTTTATTTGCTATGAGTATTTCTAATTACCCTTATCTCTTTTCAGAGTACTCAAGGCTGAATTGGATACATTTAAGATTAAATGCAAAGTGGTGCAGGAAGAAAATCGCACACTAAAGCAGGCATCTGTTATAATCGTAAGTATAAATATTGTTATATTTTCTCATCGTCGTTTTGATAAGATCATAAAAACTAAAAACGTATTAAGAAACCGAAGAAAAACGAAAAACCTTGGATAACAATCTGGTTTTGTGGTTTTGAAAGTGCTGAAAGCTGTTTGCTTCTTTGCAATATCAACAGGAGTTAAATATGTACAAATCTCTTTAACACTAAAGCCGCAATGATTGATAAAAAGCATAGAACCCCTGCGGGTTAGGGCCTCAAGAATTTACCCGCGGTAAGGCATGCCTGTCGTAAGAGGCGACTAAAATCCAATAGTTCCCGCGACAGTCGGGTCTTTATACCGGAACGACCAGGATTTTTATCCGGCCAAGGACTGTCACTACCGCAACATTCCCCAAAAAGTAAAGAAAATCGCTTTAACGGTTGCGAATCATAGTTATCAATTGAAATTAGACAGCAATGTCCTATACATGTATATACATATATTGAACTCTTATTATTTTTCATATAAAGCAAGCGAAAGCGGAGCAGGAAGAAGAGTACATATCGAATACACTTCTGAAGAAAATTCAAGCCTTAAAAAAAGAGAAGGAGACTTTAGCACATCACTACGAACGTGAAGAGGAGTGTTTGACAAACGATCTATCGCGTAAGCTCGATCAGGTATGATTTTTTTTTTTGTGTTTTTGCTTTTTTTCTTTTACCATTTCCCTATTCATCTTCTTATAGCTTCGACAAGAGAAATGCAAGCTGGAGCAAACTCTAGAGCAGGAACAAGAATGTCTTGTCAACAAATTGATGCGTAAAATTGAGAAGCTACAAGCTGAAACAGATAATAAACAAACAAATTTAGAGCAATTGCGTAGAGAAATGGTTGAGTTAGAAAATACATTAGAACAAGAGCAAGAAGCATTAGTTAATAAACTTTGGAAACGTATGGATAAACTAGAGACGGAAAAACGTTTGCTACAAATTAAACTGGATGAACCAGTTTCCGATCCAACAACACCACGTGATATAACCAATGCCAATGGTGACACTGCCTCTAATTTAAGCGCTCATATACAGACATTACGTTCCGAAGTCCTACGATTGCGTTCAAATCTAGCAGCAGCACAAAAGGAGGCAACAAAAAAACTACAACAATTTGCACAGGAAGAGAAAAGCATACGTGAGGAGAATGCACGTTTACAACGTAAATTAAAATTGGAAGTAGAACGACGTGAGGCACTCTGTCGTCATTTGTCCGAATCGGAATCCTCACTTGAAATGGATGAGGAGCGATTCTATAATGAGAATCTATTAGGAGCTGTCGGCACAGCTGCTGGTTTGGGCGGTGCTGCTGCTGTGGTGAACACACGTCAACGCACGATTAGCAGCCCCGTATCGCACAGTCCATCAAATAGTCGACCACTCAGTCCGGGCGCAGTGCATCAGAATCGCTGCTATGCGTGTGGACAAATTGTGGTGAGTGTGTGATTATCATTACTAAATATTGAATATATAATTCTATTTTTACCTTTATTTATTTTACTCTTTAATTGCAGAATCGACGTGCTAGTGAACGTTTTATCAAACCGGCTTTGCCCACACCCATGTTGGGTCTAAATACTTCGGCACCAAATGTACTCAGTAGCAATACACTTTTGGGCTCCGGTGGTGGTGGTGGTGGTGGTGTTGGTGTTGGTGGTGGTGTTGGTTGTGTTGCAGGTAGCTCAAGTGCCGTCCTAACAGGCGCTTTGAACACTTCCACACTATTTGGTGGCGCTGGTAGCTTCTTACAGAACCTAAATCCCGAGCGCATCAATATTGGCAGTGGTGCAGGTTCATCTTTGCTTCCAAACAACAATGGTAGCAACAGTATGGCAATGGCTGGTAATGCGACACCATTACAGCAGGCTTCCAATCCAATGAATATTAGTCTCAGTAATACGTCCACGAATCTAACGAATAACATGAACTCGAGCAATTCATCCTTGTCTGCATTTACGCCAACGAACACGAACGCATCAACTGCATTTGCCCAGCCAGCCAGTCCTATGGATACTTCCGTCTACAAAGAGTAGAGTTGTAAGGAGTGTAGACATTTTTTGAACTGAATTTTTAAACAAAGAGTTGTACGCGACAGAAAAAAAATACATACAAATACATACAAATTACCCACAGGAAAGCTGTTATTACGTACATGGCATGAATTGGATATTGAATTGACCTGTATGTTTTGAATTATTTAAGATTTGTCAGTTTTTAATAACATATATATATATATATATATATATATTTTTTTTGAACTGGTCTGCATATAAGTATGATTGAAAACGGTTTAAAGACGAAAAGCTCGCTAGAAAATATAATTTTATAGCAATGTGAGCTTTATTAGAATAGAAAGAAAATATACATATATGATTAGAAGCTAATTCTGGAAGATATGTGGCTAAAATAAAATAAAAAAACAGAAATTTAAGTTTTAAAGGTGTCCACAACGATTAAAACAACAACAAAAATACTTACCTGTGCGTACTACGACATTGCAATCAACTCTCACTCATCTAATGCCACACTTTGTTGCATATGCAAAGAATACTAAGATCATACATACATACATACATACGATTATATCTTATACGAAAATGCTACATTAGCTTATAGTGATAAACGCATTAATTTGCTCAAATTCCAACCAGCAAGCAATATTCATTCGGAAGGCAGAAAACAAAAAACTATGAACTGGAGGAATATTCAACAACTACTCTACTTACATACATACATACATACATACATACACGTGTAACATGCCGATAACAATTAATGACTTCCTTAAACAATGCAGCTGTAGCATAGAGAATTTCCCATAATTAAACTGGTATCGCTATAATATAATACAACACAGAATACAACAATAAAAATCCTAAATAAATACATTTATATTATGTAAGGTGTATGTATTTATTTAATAATATTTACTTTCTTTTTATTTGCTACATTCAACCTACCTATTTATATATGAATATTTGCATCTATACCGCAAAAAAAACAAAAACAAAAACAAAAAATACAAGTATGAACTATATGAACAATATTCCAATGAATTATACATAAATACATACATTCACGATGACATATGAATATCCATGGCAAATACTGTTTTGAAATTTGAAACCAGTACATATAGATAGCCACTAGGAGAGTTGTAGGCGCAGCAAAGATTTTGTGTGTGTGTGTAAACAACCTTAGAGAGCTTACAATTTCGGCATGCATACATACATATATATATGCGTATATCAGAAATAATTTAATTTTTAACACACACACCCAAAAAACACTTACGGCAAACACACACACCCAATAGATAAAAGAAATAAAATAAAATTAACAATAAATTTTGTCCATTTTGTGAGAAAAAAAGGAAAAAAGAAAATAAATAACAAAAAAAGAAAAAGTGAAACTGCAGCGTGCACATTTAATTGAATTTACTATGAATAATTATTATAATATTAAAAAATGTAAGAATACATAAAGAAATTACTATAATAATCGGTGTAATGGCCGAATAAAAAAAATACTTATATATACACACATACATACATATACATATATATATATATATAATTTAAATTCTTTGCGTGACGAATCGTAAAGTATTTGAATTATTCTATTAATTTTACTTTAAAAGCAATTTATATTTTGCGTTTACTAAAAAAAAATAAAATAAAATAATCAATAGCAGCTGAAATTGTTTAAAACATAACTTCGAATTTTTTCCGCTTGTAATCTAAAGTCAAGAAATAAAGTTAACGTGTAATGGAAAGAAATACATAGAAAAGATGTTTGTTTTGATTTTAAGCGTTGGCTTAATAAATTTAATATATGTAATACATACATACATACGTGGCAAGATTGAGTCATTCAATATACAAGGTCCGCCATCTAACTTTTTTTTTTGAACTAGTGATTATTTTGAGTGTGGTAACACTGATGTTACATTTGATTTGACAGAAAGTTAGTTTTATCCTTCCGCTGAACGAAAATGATTGTGTATACGATTGAGGAACGCGTTAAAATAGTGCAGTTCTACTTAGAAAATGTGTGCGAAAATTACGCACGAAAATGAGCCGTAACAAAGCACCGTCCGCTCCGTATGTGCGCTTTCTTTTGAAAAAATTGAGAGAAACCGGCACAATTATTGATAAACCAACGCGTGAGAAACCCAAAAAAAAAGTGCGTACTGCCGGTAATATCGCTGCTGTGGCCGAGAGTGTGCGTGAGGCGCCCGGAACATCAGTGAAGCGTCGTTCTCAACAATTGGACATTTCCGAGACGTCCCTTAGGCGAATTTTGAAAAAAGACCTTGGTATGACATCGTACAAAGTTCAATTGGTTCAAGAATTGAAGCCACGAGACCATCCAATACGGTTTGCCTTTGCCGAATGGGTATTTGTTTTATTGCATTTAAAAAAAAAAAGTTACGTAGTCTTATTACTTTTCATAACAAATTTTCTCACTATTTCAATAAATTAATGGAAAATCTTAGAAAGCACGTTCCACTTGGCATTTTTTGATGTGCATTCTATATAGGGTGTACCATTTCATGTAACCAATTTCCATGACCAAGAGAAGCAAAGGACAAGAAAACTAATGAATAAGGAGGAAATTAACTCTACCTCTTGGATGTCTCGAGACCAATCATACATTCTTTAGCAATAAATTATATATTTGCTTTCAGCGTGCACTCTTTAAGAGTCCTTAGAAAGCTGCTAGAGCCGGTTATTTATAAATAAAATGTGTTTATAAAACTTGGCGAACAGTGCCTGTTGTTGTTGTAGCGTCTCGCCAACCCCGCTTAGGTACAGATTTGATCAATCTAAATCGCTGAGGTCAACTAGTGGGAGGTCCAGGAAATGTGCTCTTTCGACGCGATGGGACCAAAGGGAGAGGGGGGGGGGGGTTAGATGAGTATGTTTAATGAGGCATGTAAAAGGCGTCGAGTCTGAATATGTACGAGTTTAATCTGCTACAGTGTCCAAACAAGGTCATGCGAGGCAGCTCGATCTCGTAGTCTGCAATGGGTGGTGGTTTTACTTCGCACACGCCATTCACGGGAAGGGAGTCTTTGAAGGTGTTGACCGACTCCTGGTGAAAGGCGTTCAGTGCCTGCCTGTACACCGTTGTTGTTGTTGTTGTTGATTTTCCCAAAGTATTTTTTGGGGAATGTTGCGGGAATGACAATCCTTGGCCGGATAAAAATCCGAGTCGTTCCGGTATAAAGACCGGACTGTTGCGGGAACTATTGGATTTTAAGAGGCAACTTACGACAGGCATACCTTACCGCGGGTAAATTCTTGAACCCTTAACCCACGGGGGGGCCTGTACACCGTCCTATCCAGCGGTTATTGTACGTATTTCTGTATGGTGTTTTTTGAGTCGAGTACTCCCTTTCTGATGCGCCTAGGTGGAGATTCAGATTCAATTAGGTGCCTATTGGAGTGCTCTCTGCGGTAACATCCAAATAGATAACCCCTGCGGATTATGGGCTCAAGAATTTACCCGCGGTAAGGCATGCCTGTCGTAAGAGGCGACTAAAATCCAATAGTTCCCGCAACAGTCGAGTCTTTATACCGGAACGACCAGGATTTTTATCCGGCCAAGGACTGTCACTCCCGCAATATTCCCCAAAAAGTACTCTGAGGAATATTTTTGCGGTTACAACAACAACAGCCGGTTCTACGCACCGGAGTTTCTGCGACCTAACCCCACTTGGTTCTCTGACCCACCGGCTCGAACCGAACGATCCCCAAAGAGATTGCTTCTCTGCAAGGAATGTCCGTATTGAAATTATTAGAGAAAACTATTTTTTTTTATTATTAGTAGCTTAATATTTTGTATTTCTCAATTTTGTTGGCTGGTGTAATTCAAGAGTCTGGGAAAAATTACGGCAACTCTATGCAAAGACATTTTCAATGCATCCCTGCGCTCCAGTTGCAATCAGCCAGCCAGCCAGGCAGTCAATCAGACCTTTTGGAAAAATATGCAATAGTTTATTGGTTTTCTTCCAAACCAAATATTTGCAATTGTGAGATTAAATTAATTGGTAAATAAAATTTCATTCTAATATTTGTTGTGATTAAGCAATGTTTTTGTTGATATAAAAGCACTTGCAGCAAAAACAACATAAAGGGGCGATAAAAGAAACTTTGCAATTGTAAGGGCGGAGAAGTTCACAGCATAAAGCTTCATCTTTTGGGCTCCCCCATTCGTCTGCCTACACGTATGTATTTGCGCATTAAAATGTTTTTCTTTTTTGTTCTATCATTGTAGAACATTTCTTGATAATCAGAAGATTCGAGTAACACTAGAATACTGCAATAGCTGGCATACGGTCTCCCACATAGAAAGTGTATAATTAAAGTATTCGTTCTTTGAACTTTGAAAATTATTGCAGCAAGCAGAACGCAGCAGTAGAACTCGTAGCTCTAATTAATACGGAAGGCAAGTGGATTGAAAATTAAATATGAAATCATCGGTGAAAGGATTGATTTTGTGTTGCCTTTTGGCTGGAATTTTCTCATCGGTTTATTGTCAAGGTATGTGAAGAACTATATAATACATACATACATACATACATATTCATACGGCTTGGATTTCAATCCAAAAAAATTAATTTACTGATGTATGCATATGAATGTATGCATGTATATATGCGCACATATTATAGCAAAGTATGGGGAACGGCGATAACGCGAATAGTGGAAATAATAAACAAAACACTAATTTTTGCAATATTTCATTTTAAATTCATTTCTACTTACATGCAATACATAAATATTTTGTATATATTTGCTATACATACTTTTGATGACTCACTAATGATAAGGTATATGAATATATATTTAAACTAAAATATTATATATTATTATTAAATTATATCACAAATTTATCTAGTTTGGATTTAAACAAAAATATTAAACCATAGAATAAACATCTTCTTTCGAAATTAATCCCTTCCACAAATACATACATCCTTATATGATAATTACATACATACACCTTTATTTGTACTCAAAAACCTAATTAGATCATTTTGTAAGTGTAAGTGTGTTCTTAAATTACCAATAACTTTTTTTTTTAATTCACAGAATCTGCCAATGACAAAGCTTCGGTTAAAGTCAATGAGCAAAATACCCCCGCGCCAAAGACCGCTGCAGATAGTGTACCAACTACAACGGAGATAAACAAAACAGAACCCATAACTACAACAAATCCAACAGTCGTGACAACACCATCAACACCGGCTACTAATCCAAATGACACTACCACAGTGAAACCAACGCCTGATCAAAACACAACTACCACTGTTGCTCCAACCACAACAACAACTACTCCCACTCCCGCTCCGAACACCACTACCACTCCTCCACCAGAAACAACTACACCAGCCGCCAACTCTACTACAACCACGACCACCACTACTACAACAACCGTCGCGCCTGACAATAGTACCACTACAAACACAACTACAACAACAGCCACACCACCAACACCTCGCCCACCATGCAATCATTTCGATTTCCCATCCTTCATTGGCGGCATTGTTTTGACCTTGGGTACTTTAGCTATAAGTTTAGTCGCATACAAATTCTACAAGGCACGTAATGAACGCAACTATCACACCCTTTGAGCCGCCACTGCCTTTACATCGGCATTTAATGCAGCAGCCAATCCAGCGCCATCCAGCAATTCAAGCGGAGACATAGAACGTGTACGTTTTGTACAACCATCGTTCCCATTACGATCACCACCCACCACACCGCACCAACCACCAACGGAGTCCTCCGCACCAGGCGCACCACCAACATCATCACCATCGGTACGGCAAAGGCTGTTGCAAACATAATTGAAGAATACGAAGAAGACTAAGATGATAAGATGAAAGAAAAAACTAAAGTAAGCTACAAATACGCAATAAATCGTGATTTCCTTTCCTTCTAAAACAGTGTGTGTATATAAATACAACTACAAACAATTGATAACAATTTTCCTGCACTATACATACATATATGAAAACTACATACATATGTATGTATGTATGTGAGTACATAATTATATGTACTGAAAAGCATTAATTATAATACAACAAATAATAAATATATTATCATCTTTTATCCCTTTCACACATAAAACTACAATACGCAATAACAAATTTGAATCAAAGCTGAATCTAGTAAATTAATTGCTGTATTAAGGCTTATTAAAATACTTCTTTACGGTGCATTATTTAAAACAATTATATCAAATAATTTATATCGAGATATATATATGTAAAGGATACATTTTAATAAAAACTAATCATTATGTATTTGAGACTGTCGGATTAGTATGTCGTTTTATGAGAGAACTGCATACCCATGTTCATATGTATGTACGTATTTGGACGCTATCGCAAGCGTGGTTTTGTACAAAATTTTCACAAGTTTTAATTTAGCGATTGAACAAATGTGAATTAATACGAAATTTTATGCGATAGATGAAGTAAAATTACAATAGCAGCATTTTTCATAAAGCTTTTTTATGAATGTACATTCAATACGAATTCAATACACATATTTATTATGTACATTTTGCTAATAAGTACATATACATACACGCACGCTATGTTAGTTAAGATGATTGCGCGTTGCTGTCATATTTTTGCATAAATAATTACGAAAAGTTGCACAATTTGTAAGTGAAATGAATCATTTATTTGTGTTAGAAGCATCAAATTTATAAAAAAAAAAAATTGTGTAATTAAATTAAAACACAATATTTACAAATAAGTATTCTCGGAAAACACATGTAATCTCTCAATTCCTTTTTATTCTAAAAAATATCTGAACATATAAATGTTATACAAAAAAGAAATAATATAAAAAACATAGAAATATATACCAACATTATTGCGTGTTATAATAAATATGTGTAATTTAATGTAATTATTTAACAACTCTTTGTAAAGCGATTTAATTCAAATAATACTTACGATATTTGTAATATCGTAAGTATAGTATTTACTTTTATTCGTGTATAGTTTACTCTATGGTTTGAATAAATCCTTAAACATACATATATTAACTCTTCTTTTAATAAAAAAAATTAGCTGGGCAAAAGATAAGTGGCAAGATTTTTAAATTTTTACTGTTGCAAAGCACCATTTCAGTGCTCTAGACAAACAACCAACCGTTCATTGCTATGCTGTCAATACTTGCACAGTTTTAAGTAGCTGTTGCAGTACCCCTGCATCTTTTTCCACCAAAAAAGAAAAAACAGATTATTTTGATATAAAAAAAAAACACATTTATTTATTCAATCACTTTTATTATCTTCTCTTTTGGTCCCACATTCTTCTGAAATTCTTTTCGTTTAACATTGCTCTTTGTTTTGCCACCCGCTTTCTTCATATGATGTGTATCGAAACGTACTATCAGTTCCGTTCCGCCCAACGACTGCTTCTTTTTCACAGCTGCACGCGCTTCCAAGGTTGAGGGCAATGTAATTGTGGCTATGCTTGCTGCCACCAATTTTCCTTTGCGTGGTTTTATTTGTACATCTACCGCTGATGGGTATAATCGACGCACCTCTCCCACCGAGGCACTTTGTGGCAGGTTTGTTATAACAATTGATGATGAAAAGTTTTTGGAGCGCAAAGCTAATTTACTTGCCCGTCGTAAGCGCGCTTTAGCTTTTTTCTTCTCCAAAGTATTGACTTTTCGTTGCACAAGCTCTTGCACGAATTCCGCATTCTCGGTGCGTGGTATTGATACCACCACTTTGGTGCCACCGTTCTTTGCTGCCGTTTTTATCGCTTTTAATGCTGTATCGCGATCATCTCGTGAATCAAAATCGATTAAACAAAAACGTGCATACTTTTGTCGCGGTTTATGCCCCTTTGTTATTAGAGGCGATAAAGCTTTGACTTCTTTCTGAAAATCATCTTCATCTTCTGGCAGCTTATGCGGAAATCTTATATACAATTGTTTACCCTGCCGCTCAGAATATTTTTTAGTAATATCTTCAGCAACTCGATCTTCAAGAGATTTTTTCTTAGCAGGTTCATCATCCAAATCCTCCTCAGGCTCAGCGCCTTCACTTAGTTCATCTGATTCGGTGTCACTTGCATCCAAATCTGGCACTTGTTGGTCTTCTTCGTTATCTGTGTGGACTTCCATTTCGGATTCTTCACTTTCCGTAGAAGACATTGTTTTAATTATTTGAAAGAATTATCAGATACTGATGTCTCAAAATGAAAATTTGACAATGCACGTGTTGTTATTTTGATTTGCGTAGGCTTGCTGGAGGAGATGTACACATTTATCGATATATCTTGAAGGCTCTAAAGACTAATTCACATAAGCATTTTTTATCGCTCCGCAAGAGTTTTGTTTTGACAGATATGTTTGTATTTGTATGACTAAGTACACAAAGAAAGTTCAAGAGGGAGACCTCAATTCTTTTAATCGATACAAGGACCTTAAACTTCAGAGAAGCGAAAATATCAATGTAATTTAATTATTTGTGTTTTTCAAAGTTATTATACAGCAAACGTACGAAAATTAGCAAATTTTTAAGATTGTGGCATATTCTCCATTCACTTCGCTCGAAACAACGTTGACGCGAAGTCAACGACAATAGAGAGATTTTTAACTTTTTGAATGAAAGAAAGTTTTCACTATGCCATAGTATTGGAGTTATTCGCTTTGTTTCCAAAGTTGTAAATTTTACGCCACCGATTAAGTTTCATCTGTCCCTAGGTTAAGTGTGAGCCAGCCTTAGTACACAATCACTGTTAAATCGATAACTCCACTATCGTTATTAAATGTCGCATGCCCATAAGGAATGGCATTCTTATGCTAGCTTCACTTAAAAAATTATTTATTAAAATTAGTTTAAACAATTTTGCAAGTTTCATACAAAAATATATAATACGTGACTAATTTCCAAATAAAGGCATGTTTCAAATTGGTTACCATAAAAATGCAACACTGTATAATTTTGACAGCACTATTGTGACTTGTTTGCAATTAGTCAACACTTTTTAACTAGAGAAAAAATATCTTTTTTGCAAATATATTAGAAAATAAGATTTCGAAGTACCAAAAATGGCTATCTTAGAGAATATACGTGAATTGTTCACTTCGGAAACAGCGCGAAATAAGAATTCATCATTAATTTCTGGATTTTTGGTATGTAAATGTAGCTTAGCGTTGAATAAGTTTGTTTTGTTTACAAAAGCAAGTACATATGCTAATTGTTTTTGTACTGCAGTTTTTTGCTGGATGGTGGGTTCTAATCGATGCAATGTCCGCTGATACCCAACATCAAATCACCACTGGTCAGGTTTTCATTGGAGTTTTTGGCACAATTAGCTTCTTCATGGTAAACACTGTTAAGAACTCACATGTAAGTAAAACTAAACTCATGTTTATTGCCTTACTTTGGAAATTCTATTTAATTTAGCTTGTCTGAATGTTCGTCGTTATTTCAAATATTGCTTTAAAACCACCTTTTCCTCAAACAAATGTTTAACATTTATTCCTTAATACATTTTATAGATATCAGAAGAAAACACATCCGAATCCGGTGCACGTATTGCAAAAATTTATTTACTTATCGGTTTTGTAATGGGATTTGCGTCCATAATTGCTGCAATATGGGTTATGATTGACGACTTTATTAATAACAGTAAGTTTTTTTTATCGAATAAGTATTGAAAATCTTTAATTTAGATTTTAACTACAAATTGTGCAGGTCTTTCAATGCGTAGTTGTTAATTAATATTCATTCTATTTAATTTTAGGCAAAAAAGACAATTGGCCAGGTGTAGCACTGCTCATGCAAAACGTTTTTATTCTAATTGGAAGTCTGGTATATAAATTCGGTCGCAACGAAGAGGATTGGAATGAGTAAATGAGCTACAGTCCGCTGAACAACTACTCATAGAAAAGGTGGCACATATTATTCATTATAAGTTAAAAAAATGTAATTTACACAATTGTTTCTGATATAACATTTCCATACTAACCTAGCGTATATGTTAGCATCTCATAAGATAACTAAATTTGTTTATATCGCATTCAAGTCGTATTTCACTCATAAAAAAATAAAGCTTAGTTTCATTTAGCTAGAATCACTGATTCTTATTCAAGACGATAAGAATTACGAGAATATAAACACTATCTTTGTTGGTCCTGTCTATGAAATACATACAGATATGTAAGCTGTATAATTCTGGCCTTGGAGGAGCTCTTAAAATCACTTCTGCAGCCTTTGGTGTTGTAACTTACCATCTCTCTATGTATTAATCGCCTTAAAACTATAAACATATATATATACCATAATATTGTATCGAAAAAAAAAACATATTTTATTTATATTTACATACATATGTATGTATAATCTATTGCACATTTTTACGATACAAAATAATGGCAAAAACTGAGGTCATTGTTATTGCTGTAATCACAAAGCATATAAGTATCAATTGAAGGTTCAAAATTTTGCATTGAGCGCATTAATCGGGCATTCATTCTCGTTTTGCAAACACCACTCAGGCTGCATAGCTTCTGCGCCAATATCGTAATCTGTTAAACGTTGACGATGGAAAAGCAAACGTGCTTCTGCTGAAGTCCATGATTCGCTAGGGTTCGACCATAACCGTTCAGCAAAGGCGCTGGCACGTGGCCAAAAGCGCGAATCCAAAGTGTACTCGTCTATTTCCTCTGACCAAATGGCCGCTTCTGCCCCTAAAACTTGAGCTCTGTATTGGCCAGCAATTGTGTCCAAATTGTTGTCATATACTTTCTGCCAGCCAATGTACGGCGAACACCAATTATTACCAGCTGCAACCCAGGCCGCACCACCACAATCAAAGTATAACGCATCATAGTTTGATATTATAACGCGGAAACCGCGTTTTAAAATCTCCTGTATTACACTGTCATTACCCTGTGTCCATATTTGTATGTTGTAACGTTCCTTATCTAAATATTCATCAATGTAAGGCACTTTAGTAAGGTGACTAGTCCATAAGTTAATGGACGGCTGGTTGGGTTGTGCGACTGCATCGACACGTTTCAAAGCTTCATCTTGAAAATGTGCCCAAAGACGTATGAAATCAGCTTCATTTAACCCCCAACCTTTCTGTAACATCCAGTTTTGTATACGCTCACTGCTATTCCAACAACTAACCGACACTTCATCACCACCCATATGGAAAACATCGGGATCGAAGAGTTCAAACATCTCACGATATATGTCTTCCAATACTGGATACAATTCCTCAACGGTGGGATCCAATTGACCGCAAGGCGGCTCCACACAATAATTTATCCACGGTTGAGCTCTGAAACATGCAGTCATATTCTTCTGTTGCCAACCTTCACCAACATGCGCGGGTGCATCGAATTCGGGCATCACACGTATACCACGAACGCGTCCGTATTCAACAATATCCTTTATATCTTCATGACTATAGACTTTACGCGGTGAATAGGCGCCTAGTTTATATAGTTCTGGTTGGGATTTCACTTCAAAAGGAAAACTAGCAGAATCGGTAATGTGCCAATGGAATGTATTGAGCTTCACCATGGCCATAGCATCTAAAGCATAATGACAACAATAAGAATTTATTTATCTATGCATATAAATATGTGTGATAATAAAATTACCCAAGGTTCTCTTAATGGATTTCACACTAAAGAAATTACGCGATGTATCCAGAAGCAAACCGCGCCACTTGTAAGCTGGCTTATCTTCAATATTAGCACGTGCCAATATCTGTATCTCACGTCTTATATCATCGTATACAAGTAACTGCGACAAAGTCTCCAGACCATGACGTGCGCCAAAGTAATTGTTGGCTGAAATTGTTGCTGTTGCTACACTACCATTACCTGAGCTAATTTGTAATGCGTAACTTTCATCGGTATCCAAAGTTAGTCTAGGTACAACATCATCCAGAGTTGAGGTCAATTCCACCGACACGATTAGCGGACGACCACCTTTTCTCAACACATTTTTATTCGGTACAACGGCATAGAGCAAATGCATAAAGCGTTCTTTGCTGGCTGTCCAAAGCTGACTTTGTTTACTTAAGGTAGGTAAATGGAATTCAATATTACTGGGATCCACTGCCAACATGTAACTATCGAAATCGACAAGGCCACTCGGGCGTGGCCAGATGGTGCCAGGTACATCGCCACTACAGAAGATTCGGCATACTGGTAGACTTATTGCTTTTTGAAAATTCTGTGAGTCTAACTCAACCTTGACACATCTACTCTTTTGACACTCGTAACCGTATATGAGGCTGAAAGTACGCAAAATGTATTTAGTTAAAAACCTAATTTAAGATGAAATCTAGTCCAGCGCCCTTTCACTACTATGCTCATTCGACTTGGATCAACTTTCCCTTTTTCGTGAGCAATTAGAAAGGCGTTTGGCAGTTTGATTTTTACTCTACACTCTCAAACTTGCTTAGCAAAATAAGACATCGGAGTTTACGGAGCCTTTAATCTAAGATGAAATTATTCACTTTATGTCATGTGCTAAGCGCCCAAACAGAAATATTTCTTTGTAAAACGACAAAAAAAAAAAAGAAAAAGGTATTTTATACTCACTCATCGCCGGAAGAGCAGGAACGCTGCACTCCTAAAGCGAATAGCACTAATAACGGTGCTAACAGCTTCATGTTCTATGTTCACTACGTTATTGAGACTGTGGAGCAGAGATATTGAGCCAATGGCTGGCCTCTTCGACGTTTAAACCTGAAATGACTACAAATTTGTGAGCCAATTTAAATATTACCAATTTGGCAGAGAACGCATAACAAAGAAAACTTAAAAATTCACCCACACATTTGGACGGCGTACAGTGTAATGTAGTTTGAGGTGGAATCGCAATAAAAGCGATAAAAGAAAACAAAATTATCAAGCTTGTTTGGCTGGTTGTTGGCTAATTACAGCTGCTCACACACACAAACACACACATACTCAGAGTTGACGTTTGTTTTTGTTGCTTTTTTAACTATAGAAACTGGCGTAGCGCAGGCGCTTATCGACTTATAAAATTATATTTTCTTTGCGGTATTTTTTTTATTGCCGATTGATTTACAGATCAAAAATCGTTAAAAAAAAAGTATGTATGTCTGTAACTAACTGCAAACTACCTTCTCGCAAAACCTCTGTGTGGATGTTGCGGGCATAAAAAAAAATAGTTTTTTATTTTACTATTTTTTTTAGAAAGTGCAAATGTAGATTGTAGAAACGGGAACTAAATTAGTTGTGTAGAACCTTATCTTTTCAATAACAATTTTAAAAATTTATTGGTCGTAAACAAAAACAATTTAAATCTTTATGGCTGTTAGTTGCTCTTGATAGTTTTTTTTTCAATTAGCTTCGCCATTTTTTCACATTTGTATGCTCTCGGCCATCGAACCAGCAGCGTACCATTATTTGTTTTTTAATTTTTAAGTAAAATAACCGCTAAATCTGTGGCTGTAGTGATCCAAGATTTTGTTTTATTTTTGCATAAAAGTTTGATATATTTTAAATAATACATATTATATTTATATGTAAATGGAAATGAGATAATATTATTTAAAGCAGAATTTACAATTATTTTACGTAGGATTCGCGCCTTTTTGAGTTAAAGTATTATCTTCGTAAGTTTCCAAAACGTCTGCCAAATGCTCGTTATCTCTTGGTTTCTTAAATTGACGCTTCTTGCTTGCAGCTTTCTTACGTTTCGGCACCGGTTTCTTTGGCCCATGGTCTTGCATAGAGCGTATGCCTATAATGAGAAAACAATGGAGAGAATGTAAAGTAACTGCAGTAGAAATATTTATTACAATTTTAAACCTTTTTTAAGTTTTTATTAATTTTTTTATATTAAACATTTTTTTTATAATATTATTATATTTAAAGTTTTTATGCAAATGATCTTTTTATCAACAAAATATATGTATGTGCATATGTGTATACAAATAAATTGTATACATACATATGTACATACTGCTTTAATATATATGTGTGCTGTTCACTCACCTTGTTTTTCAAGATATTCATCAATTTTCGCATCATCCATGGCATCTACGGTTGCTGAGCGCCACAGCTTTTGAAATTCTTCATCGACCTGTAATAAAAATTATTATTATTATAAATAAATAAAAAAAATAAATAAAAACATTAGTATAAATATTAATTAAAAGCTATATGTATTTTAAACAAAAGTACCGTAAAGTTTGCTGTTCTATCGTTATAAAACAATATCTTCTTCTTATCTATTGGCCGCACTATGAATATTATTTCGGAAGCACGATTTTTGAGCACTTTCTCGCAATGTGGCAATGATTCTTGTACATCGTCGAGCAAAACGCCACCCAGTCCTTTTAGGTCGTGCTGCTTAAGAAGGCGCAATAAACTTTTGCCATCTTTGATTTTATATACCGGCTTAAAGCTAAAACGTTGACCGTCCGGTGTAGCTTCTATTTTCGGATTGTTGGTAAGCGCCTCTGATGCGAGCCACTAAAATATTCGGAATGAGTACATATTGTAGAATTTTGAATTTATACAATTTAAGAATCATATTTACATTTTTAACGGATTGCCCAATATCTAACTGATTTGTTTCGTCTAAGATTTCATCAATATTCAAAGGATGATCATCGCCTTCTTGGTGCCGTGTACGCATATGTTTCACGATTTTAGCCAATACACCAAAACGATACTGTGAGCTTCCTGACATTGTTTTATATCTATGTATGCATATATGGGTGGGATGGGAAACAACATGAGTACTTGGAGGCTAACCATTAAAACTTCGCATAACTTACGTGCTTGCATCCAGTTTAGGTGCACTTGGTGGTCGCATTTTCTTCTTAGCATCATCTTTTGGTTGACTGGCTGGTGGAGCTTCGGATTTTGGCTTCTTCTCCACACTACTCGAAGGAAGAAATGTTGTAAATTCATATACTAAATGTTGATGTGAGGTGTTATGCGTATACTTACGTTGGAGTGGCCATAGCCCTCTTTTTGAACGCTTCACGTTCCCTTAATAACGCTGGATCCATTTTTTAGATTTTACTATTTATTTAACTTGTTTTGATAAATATATTATTTCTTTCACGAAAAAAATAATGCTTCTTTGCTCACACACTAGCAGATTGTTTTATATTTATCAGCTGTTGTCTTATTTATACCATTTGTTTATTCTATCATCATTCTTCTTTGCCCGACCGACACCATTCACGATAGCGTTCGCTTCAACCTGATTACCGAGGCAAATTCATTTAATTTTTATTTATATATGCTTTTCGTCGCAACAAATTTTCAGCAGATCAGCTGACCAGACAAAACTGCATTTTGTGATATTTTTGAATGTATTTTATATATTTTCTGCCATATTTTTTGTTATAACTACTCGTCATTATGAATCTTATCATCTTATAATAAATATTCGATATTTATTTTATTTACATGCAAACATCACTTTTCAAATTCTATAAAACCTAAAAGTATGTATACATATTTTTTTAGGACGTTCCAAAAATTATTAAACAATTTATGCAGGCGATCGTATGACATTTTTTAGCGTATTTTTCTAAAGAGGTCTTTGGAATTTTTTTTAATTGATTGACAGTTTTCCATGTGGGCAATTGATTGCTTCTGACATATTTTCTGCCACAATAGCGAGTCACCATCGATGTGTGTGGACGGACGTTGCCCTGATGACGCACGATTCTCCTCCTGTTAGCCAAAGCAGGACATTTCTGGGCGATTCCTTCTTTCAGACGGTCCAATCGCTAACAGAATAGGACCGAATTAAGTGTTTGGTCGTAAGGGAGCTCATAGCACATGATTCCTTGCCAATACCGCCAAACATTCAACAAAACCTTCCTGGCCTTGACAGCTTGTATACTTTTATCCGGGCTCACTGCCTTTCTACCACGGCCGTTATCGTTTATCGTTGGTTTCCATTATTTTATCCATATTTTCGACAATTAAAGAAACCGAAAACTATAAAAGCATGAATAAAAGGTCTGAAACCAGTAGAAGCTAACATTGTGTAACAAGAAACAACAACAGACCGAAATGCAGGGTTTTCCAATAAGGCGACCGCGTTAGCCGAGTACGGGGTTCAAGTCCCGGTACGATCTATATCCAAACATTTTATGTAGAAAATTGATTTAAATAAAAAATTAAGTTACATTTTCTAATTGCGGTCGCCCCTTGGTAGGGAATGTCAACCCCTGCGAGTGTCCAGTAACTTTTCCCTTAAAAGATCGATGGTATTACCGTAAATGTTGTCCTGATCAATACCATCAATTAGGACAGTTACGCCTTGGGCATGGAGATGTTTTACAACAATAAGTCTTGGGTTTTCCGAACCCCAAAAGCAACAGTTTTGCTTATTGACGTGGCCGAGGTGGAAATGGGTCTCATCAGTCAAGTTGATTTTTCGATGAAATTCTGGATCAGTTTTTCATGCATTTCAAGGATCCAATCAGCAAAGACATGACGTTGTAGATAATCAACCGGCTTGAGTTGTTGTGTTAACTAAACTTTTTAGGCCTTAAGACGAAAATCTTTATGCAATATACGTTGTGATGGTGCTTGTGGAATGTCCAATTCCAAGGAACGACGACAAATGGACAGATCCGGGTTTTCTTCAACCCTTTTGGGTTACAGCAGCAATATTCTCAGTTGTTCTTGAGCGACGTGCGGGTGTTTTATTCTTCACATCTCTACCTTGTCTCAACAGCTCCATTTTTACACCAATTTCGGTATTGCGGTCCGAGAAGGTGCTTCACTACGACTGAAAACTCAACCATCTCTGCCGGGTTTTCACCATTTCTGTGCGTAGCAGAAGCGCGTATCGTTCGATTTTTATTACTGACGTAGTTTTTACTTGTGGAATGTCAAAAAGTTGCAGCTTCAAAAGTGACATCTACCGCAAAAGCAGGCGATTCAAAATGACAGCTCTTATTGATAAACCCTTTATGTGTAATTATTCTCCTCTCGGCAAGAAGGCGGCTATATACGGCAGACCGGGAATGACCCCTCCCAGCCGTTCGACAGCAAACCAGGTTTCAGACAAAGTGATTCCTTATCGTGTACCTTCTTTTATTTATTGCTAGAGAAAACAATACGAACTGAAGAGCTGGATAGAAAAGGTGCGATCTTCTACAAGAGTGTACAGCTGCTGGCATACGCCGCTGATTTTGACATTATTGCCTTAACAACCGACTTCTGGCTTCTCCAGACTTAAAGAAGCGAATCAAATGGGGGTAGTAGCTCACGCGGACAAGACGAAATATCTTCTGTCATCAAATAAATAGTCGTCGCGTTCGCGACTCGGCTCCCACGTCACTGCTGACAGTCATAACCTTGAAGTTGGATATTCGTCTATCAGCATGGAAATCCAACGCCGAAACACTATTGCCGTCAGATGCTACTTTGACTTAGTAGGCAAACGAAAAGTTAGGTCCCCTATCGCCGACCAACAACCAAACTCTACAAGTCACTCATCATTCCCGTCTTGCTATATAAGAGGCGTGGACAATGGCAACAACTGCTAAGTCGGCGCTATGAGTTTTCTAGGAAAAGGTTTTGCTTAAGATTTATGGTTATTTGAGTACCAGAACTGATTGAAAAATTTGCTGTACGAATTATACGGCGTCATTAACCGAGTCATATGATCCGTATGGATGCCAATACGCTGTACCGGCTGAGGCTGGTTGAAATACATAGGTGATAATGCCTTTAAAGTGAGTGTGGACAGTGCCTAACGAATTGTCATCGCCGTTTCAGTGACAGTTGTTCTTGTTTTCGTATTATTAACGCTCGAAAATGTCCGTTTATGTGCCTAATTCTCGCCATTTGCGGGAAGTTCTACTTTTCTGTTACAATTCGAAAAAAAAAAAATGCAGCTGAAGCGCATCAAATGCTCTCAGAAACTTGCGGTGACAATGCTCGGCCTCACGTCGCAAAAGTGGTCAAAAAGTACCTGGAAACGCTGAAATGGGAAGTTCCCCAGATGTCGCCGCTTCTGACTTCCACCTATTCCGTTCGATGGCAATCAATCAATCCTTCGAAGAATTGGAAAAATGGATTGCTTCATGGATAGCGTCAAAAGAGGACTCCTTTTTTGGAGCCGGGATCCGAAAATTGCCGGAAAGATGGGAGAGAGTTGTCGCTAGCGAAGGACAATACTTTGAATAATATATCTGTAAGCACTTTTTCGCAATGAAGCTTTTAATTTTGAAAAAAAAAAACGGCGGAATCAAAGTTGTACACCTGATAGATATCTCTAATTGGCGTCAAACAACGTAAAGACGCAAGGACAACAGTAAAGAAGGAGAAGATAAAGCAATTATTTTATTAAACGAGCTTCAAACACCACTAATTACAGCAATCGCCAGCAGTTAAAGACATTAAATGTGAAGACATTCCTTATGAAAATTGATATTTTCTAAAATCAATACCAAAACAATAACTTAATACATATATGTAGTTAAATAACTCATCAAATATCCACCGACGACACCATAAGCTCACTCCGCCCTCTTGGACAGACAAGTGTCAGACACAATTTACATAAGAAATTATTCTCGAGCTGCGAAATTGTTTAGCGCCCATAAGCAATTTAATACCTGCTATATTTAAACAAACATATGCATATTCATACATACACGTATGTATGTATGTGTATAGACTTGCACTGAAATAAACATGCTCTGTAGTATATAAACGAAGAATAATTGATGTGATAAACACAAGTGATTTCCTATGGTGTTATTATTTATTTAAGTGACGTCATGCATTTTGCGCGCACCGAGTTGATGTAGCCGACATTAAAACTACTTGTTGAAAGTATTCTCGAATGGGAGGTTATAAAGACCTTTGACGTAATATTCAAATCTCTGAAGGACCAGATGAATTATGCTCTCTTGATATACATATTTACACAGTTTTATCTCTCTGGGAAAATACCTAAAAATCTTCTATAGAAAAAAGGTTAGTCTCAGTGACGATTATCCTAAATACGAGGGGACTAAGAAATGTTCGGCCAATTGGTGACTTTCAATTTGTTTTTGTTAAATCTAAAATCTAAAATACGAAATCACTTGCAGTTACTTTATTAGTCTACCTTTAAAATTTTAGAACGATCGGCCTAAATGGAGACGAGAAAAATGAAAAAAGCTGTGGATAGGTCAGATGAAATTCCACCACCAACGCAAAGAGAAATTTTCCATGTGATTCTCTTCGGGTTGCGGCGTAATTTACAGCCAATAGAAATATTCACTAAATGCCAAATCGCATATGAAACGATCGCATCATCGTTAAAGACTTTTTTCAGTAGAGGACGAGTCCCGAGAAGGTAGACCATAATCTTCTACTGATGACGTCACTGTAGCAAAATTGACGAAGAACCGCGATTGGCACAAGAAATGATTGCTATTGAATTCGCCTTCAATAACATAGCTGTATCGCGAATATTATGTAATCACCTTGGATACCCGAAGAAATCTGCTCGATTTAGTACCACGAATTTTAAATGAGGCCCAAAAAGAGGCTTGAGCGCATTTTGCTAAAATTTTCTTAAACAAATTCGAAAATGTTCAGTCTTACAACTTTAGTAAAGTCGCTACTGGCGACGAATCATGATTCCATAGGTACGATGCACAAACCAAACAGCAGTCCATGGTATGGAGCTTAATAGGAGCAAATCCACCCGTAAAATTCAAGCAACAAAAATCAACAGCAAAAGTAATGATATCAGTTTACTTCATCCGATCCAAAGTTGTAGCTGCTCTTCCACTGGAAAAGTCTCAGACGGTAACTGCAAAATGGTACACCGAAGAGTGTTTAGCAAGAGTTTTCAAAAATTTGTTGGAAAACAGGAAGAAAGAGGATTTGCCACTCAGTTGAAATAAGGATTAATTTTATTGCGACCTTTGAGATCGAAGAAGTACGTCCAGCACCAGTCCTCGGATATAAAACTTTGCTATTTATCATTATTTGCAAAAATTAAAAAAATAAATGTAAAAGGAAAGGTCTTTAATAGCAACGAGGCGATAATTAATGCGGTTAATGCTGAGGTTGATAAGCTTAAAAAGCAAGATTTCGAAGACTGTTTTCAGAAGTGGATCTATAGGTTTGAGAAATGTCTTGAAATCAATGGCAAAAAAATAATAATATTTAATTTCACTGCGCTGTTGTTGAGTATAATGATATCAATATTATTGGCATACGACAGCAGCTGGACTCTTCAATAGGAAATTGCACCTTCTCTATTCAGCTCTGCAGTTCATACGATTCCTTAACACCTTGTCTGAAACATCGTTTAATATCGAACGGCACGTCCTTCTCGATCCTGACGGAGCTATAGATGTTGCTACACAGCCGTATAAGTTTTGCGGGGCTACCAAATTCAGACATAGCGGCGTAGAGGCAACTCCTTTTCGTGTCGTCGAAGGCCGCTTTAAATCGAAGAAACGGTAGTGAGGGTCGATCCTCTTTTCGCGGATCTTTTTCAAGACTTGGCGTATGATGAAAGTCTGGTCAATGGTTGATTTACCAGGTCTAAAGCCACACTGATAAGGTCCAAACACTTTGCTGACTTTGGCCAATATGATATGAAAGGGAGTCTAAAAAGAAGATAAAAAGCGATTAGGCCGAGCGATTTTAGGCCGAGCTCTTCCTCCAATTTGTAGTTTTGCGTCTTGATGTTTTTCCCAAAAATGGAGGGACTAAGCCGCATACGAACGACTGATGGCTTTTATATGAGGAGCTTTCTTATGTCATAAATAATTTCGGAGGGGTTGACATTTCCTGCCGAGGGACGATCGCAATTAGAAAATTTTTAGCTTAATTTTTTATTTAAATTAATTTTCTATAACTTTTGGATGTAGCTCGCACCGTGATTTGAACCCGAGTCTTCCGAATGGCATTATGCAATTCTAACCACTCGGCTACCTCGGCCGCCTTCGCTTTAAAAAATCTCTTTTCCCATAAATCTATACATTTTAAGCTGTTCCTAAACAATTTTCAAAAAAATTTTTTTCTGTAAATTTCCAGAAAATTCCCTTAGATATATTATAGAATTAGTCTTGAAGAAGTTCCGCGAGGCCAACGAGTTAGTATAGAAGAGGGGTGAGCTTCGGTCTCTCGAGTACTTTCATCGCCTTTTTCTCGAAACCAAGCATTTTCAATTAGGTGACACTCTTCTTTAGAACCTATTGAGCTTATAACACGAACTAAACGGTATTTTACTCCAAAAATGTGTCTCTATGGTCGGTAATACAACCAAAAATATTAATTTTTATTTAAGAAATTTATTAAAAAATTTTTGAAAAAAGGGTAAAAATTAAAAATTGGTGAAAACATTTCATTGTAGTTCTGGCCATAGCCAATGTGATCAGAATAACAAACCATTTTGATATTTGCTTTCAGACGATTATTCGTTTAACAGCTATCGTGTCACTCACTGACAAAAGGGCGATTTTAATACCCGAAATTAAATTTTTTTTCAATTAATATCTTTATCTGCAAAAACTTTGATTTATTAATTTTTATTTTTTTATTTTCTTTTAATAAAAAAATTAGTTTGATAAAAAAACGGGTTTTTTTACAAGAATTTGGCCTTAATTCCATTTTTATTCAGAACAGCGCTTTCCAGAGTTGTATTCGTAAATATGAAGCCATTTTGGCTTAGTTTCACTAACAGGCCTATTTTCACTGTTACCGGTAAAGTAAATTTTGTTGCTTTCTTTTAACACCCGAAATTGAATTTGGTACTCTGGCGAACTGGTTACAATGTTTGAAAAAAATTTGGCAGCACTGCTGTTTTCGTCCATGTCAAATTACATTTGCCAGTTGATAAAGTAAAAAGAAAAATATTCACATCGAAATGGAAGACGGTGCAAAAAAAAATTAAAAAGTTTTATTAATTTGTTTATTAAATCATAAATATATATTTGAACCTAATTATGGAAAATATGCCTGAACAACAAAAAAAGCTGAATGAAAACGTTGTCATACAAATTAAAGAGCTATTTTTTAGTCTCGAAAACTTCTTAAAATACGGCTTTTTGCACTTTTTTCTTCATCTTCAATGAATACCAGGCCTAAAATACCTACCCAAAATACCTACCTCAAACTTACAGCACAAAATCAAATGGCAGATATTTTTGTTACCTCCTATTTCGATGGTAACAAAATTTACAGGGTAACAGTGAGCTCAGAATACGAAATGGTAACAAAATTTACTGTATGGTACTGTATGGTAAATTTTGTTACCTCGACAGAATAGGCCTGTAAAAGACTTCTGAGCAGAATATTTGCGGTTTAAAATGTTCAAATTTATCAGAAAATATAAAATCAAAGAAAGAGTTCCTACAATATTCCATTCTGAATTTCGAAGTGGTTGAGGGTTTACAAGTTTGGCTTAAAGATTGAATCCAACTTTCCTATGAGGTAGTCTGGAAGATAGTCTGAGGAAAAGAAAGACATTTCTAGCATATTAATTGTTTTTCGAAATTTGTAATTCTACAATAACTTCTTAATTCAGCTAGCTCTATTTATTTGCAAATAGGGCGAGACATATTCATAGATATATGTATGTATGTATGTATATTCATTTAATGCCCAACTTATTGCATAATAAATATTTTATTTCCGAAAATGTATAATATATATATACATACACATACATATAAGCTCAGCACTATATAAAATTGGTTAAACTTGATAATTTTCACACTTAAATAATAACACTCCGTGCAAGAGTGTTGACATAATGGACAAATTGGAAGCACTGTCCTCACGCATATTTCCTTCCGATCCCTCTATAGGCAAAATTGGTTCAATAGAGTATAATGTCTGGTTGGCACAGTTATTTGGCGTGCCGGTATTGGGATTGAAAAAGGAAACTCCTCGCATGAGAATCGCTTTGGCTGTCTATGGAGTAGTGGCTACATTGGTGGTGACATTCCTTTATACGGGCTTCGAGATCTACGATATGATATTTTGTTGGCCAAATTTGGATAAACTTACGCAAAATATTTGCTTATCATTGACGCATGTTGCTGGCGCTTTAAAGGTTAAGAAACAAAGCGTATGATGAAAAAAAAAAAATATATATATATAAGTGAAAACATTTTTAGGTTATAAATATTATTTATCGCCTTAAAGAAGTCGCTGGTGTGGTGAGAAAGATAGAGTATGCAGCGAGATATTATGTCATTTCAAAAAATCAAGTAAGTTTAGCGCGTAAAAATTCGATTTTGTATTTTAAATTTACATGCATAAAAATTGTCTAACAGTTAAAGGCTTTCTATCGTGGTGAATTTGAAAATAAAATACCCTTAACAATCTATGCCTCGCTGGTGGGTTTCACAGGCATTTTAGGCATCGCCTATCTGCTCCACAGTAAGTGCATACACACGTGTATGCATGTATATTTCATATAAAAATTGTATTTTATTAAATATCTCCCATACAGATCCTACTGGCGTTGCTGGTGAAATCTTTCCGTATCGCGTCAAATTGCCCCATTGGATGCCTTTCGGCTTACAGCTGGCTTATATGGGCTTTAGTGTGTTGGTTTTTGCCTTACAAATTGTTGCCATCGACTATCTTAATGTCACTATGATCAATCAAATAAGATTCCAATTGAAAATATTAAATTTGGCATTCGAAGAACTCAAATTCGTGTCTGGCCAAGCAGCGCATGAATTGAGTTTGGATAGGCGTTTGCGTACGATAGTTGATCATCACAATTTGCTACGCAAGTGAGTGTGCTTACATCAAAAAAATTAAAAAAAAAAACAGTTTTTTATAAATATTCTACTTCTTAACCTCAAAGTTTACGCAATGAAGTCGAAGAGATCTTTCGCTTGCCGGTACTCGTACAATTCTTCACCTCACTCATTATATTCGCAATGACCGGTTTTCAAGCTATCGTCAAGTCGGAAAATTCAAATGGCGCTTCATTAATTTACTGTTATTGTGGTTGCATATTTTGTGAATTATTTGTTTATTGTTGGTTTGGCAATGAAGTGTCCGAGCAGGTTTGCGTTTAAAAGAAATTGCACATTTGAATTTTATAATATACATACATACGTGTATACATATATGTATATAAATCTAATATGTATATCTTTACAGAGCAAAACCCTAACCACCAGCGGCTACAACTGCCATTGGTATCAATTTGGTCCGCGCTATAAGAAATCTCTTTTGATATTTATGTTTAATTCTCAAAAACCGATTGTTTTTACCGCCGGCGGATTTATGGCCCTGTCTTTGCCCAGTTTTACTGGTATATTGAGTAAATCGTATACGGTTATTGCATTGTTGCGTCAATTTTATGGCCGTTAAGGGTGAAATATTTTAAGCTGACCAGCTGCCTAGAAGGTGTTGATTTTACGAATTACAAATTATGTGATAATAAAGCGATAAGGTTATTTCTGAAGAGTGATTTTGAAAATAAAATATTTTAGTTTTAAGTTTCAAGTGACCTAAAAGCTTGGTTTGTTTGTATGAAATAAATATTTTTATTATACAACAAAGAAAAAATGGTAGAAGTGACATCTGTTTCGGAGATTACCACATCTCCTCATCAGAATTCTTATGGCAGGTATCGAACCAACTTATAATATTTTAGGTTATATAACATTGTTGATTACATACCTCTCTTCCAATATTGGCTACCTTTATTAATTAATATTTAACCTAAAAAAAAACAGTTACATCCACCATTTTAAACCCTAAATAGGTAAAAGATACGAGGGGATTCACAAAAGTTCGGTAAGTTGACCAGAAAAAAATTGTTTTTGTATTTATTCGTATAGTCTTCGAATAGTTGGTAATGGAGAGCATTTTTTAACGTGTGGTTTTCAATTTGTCGAATAGTGGGTTGACATAATTACCCAGCAGAGTCGGTACTATGAGGAACCTTGGATCGGTTTCGCCATATAGCTTACCTTAGTAGATAATGCTCACGCTTAAAGATTCCATTCAATGTTCACCGTACACGCTATTGATGCTGTTGTGTGCTGTGTGCTGGGTCCATCCGCCAATGCCCGCAACAATTAGAGCTCTGATCATCCACTTTTTGTCTTTTAGTCTTTACCCTTTTTTATTTTCCTTACATACTTCAATGCATTTTGAAAGCCTAGAGATCCCCATTTCTGAAAACAGTCTTCAAAATCTTGCTTTTTCTTTTCTTTCAGGTTCAGCATTAACCTTTCCTTTTACATTTTCTTTTTTTTTAATTTTTTTGGAAAAAACCAAAAATCACAAGTTGCTGTAACCGGTGCAAACGGTGCTGGGCGTATTTCCGGAGATCACAATAAAATTACTCGTTATTTCAGCAGAGTGGCAGCCGATGGCGCGTTGTCATGATTCTTCCTGTTTTCAAATAAATTTTTGAAAACTCTTGGTAAACACTCTTCGGTGTACCATTTTGCAGTTACCGTCTGAGACTTTTCCAGTGGAAGAGCAGCTACAATTTTGGATCGGATGAATTAAACTGATAACAATACTTTGCTGTTGATTTTTGTTGCTTGGATTTTACGGGTAGGTTTTCTCCTATTAAGCTCCATACCATGGACTGCTGTTACTTTCTGGATTGTACTTATGGAATCACGATTCGTCGCCAATAGCGACTTTTCTAAAGTTGTAAGACTGAACATTTTCGAATTTGTTTAAGAAAATTTGAGCAAAATGCGCTCAAGCCTCTTTTTGGGCCTCATTTAAAATTCGTGGTACGCATCGAGCAGATTTCTTCGTGTATCGCATTCAATTGCAATCATTTCTTGTGCCAATCGTGGTTCTTCGTCAATTTTGGACTTCACCAGAGCTACAGTGACGTCATCAGTGGAAGTCTACCTTCTCGGGACTCGTCCTCTACGGAAAAAAGTCTTTAACGATGATGCGATCGGCTGTAAATTACGCCGAAACCCCAAGAGGATCACATGGCAAATTTCTGTTTTCGTTGGTGGTGGAATTTCATTTTGCTTTTTCTCGTCTTCATTTTAGCCGATCGTTCTAGAATTTGAAAGGGAGACTAATAAAGTAACTGCAAGTGATTTCGTATTTTTAGATTTAACAAAAACGAATTGAAAGTCAGAAAATGGCGGAATCTTTAAAAATGATTTCGCTAACAAACTGAGAGGCTCAATTCTTGGCCCATTTTTTTAGGAATTGGTGCCGTACTGCAGCAATAACTCGCAGAATATTTTCTCGGGCTTATCTGCGTAGGCAATGCGACTTCACATATCCCGCCATGCAAATAGATCAGCGGCGTTAAATCACATGACCTTGAAGGCCACGACGCGAAAGTCTCCTTCAATAAACTGATTGTTTCATTGCCTGTACGGCATGCAGCGCCGACTTGTTGAAATCAAAGATTATCCGCATCGACATCCTTCAGTATTGACTCGAAAAAGTTTTAAATTAAGGCTCTATAACTTTCCCAATTCACTGTAACAATATGACCGGCTTAATTTTTGCAGAAATATGTACTAATGATAGCCCTTGCCCATAGAGCACACCAAACAGTGAATTTTTGAAGAATTTTTTTCTGTACTATCTAGGGCGATTATCAACATTCCAGATGCGTCATACGATCAAAGTAAGCTTCATCGCTGAACAAAAGTTTCAGAATCGGCGGTCATCTTGTTTTGGGCAATTTTACCGAACGGCTTCAATTTATGTGAGAGTTGGACTTTGTCAGAACACGAACCAGGGATCCCTACCGCAAAATCTTCCATAAAGTGGATGTGTACAACTCTAATGCCATGGACCCTTTCGGATCTGTTTCGATTTTCTGCTTCACAACAGCAATAGCGTTTTCGGTTCGCATTGTACGATAACTTTGAGCATGCGATTTACCCGCTAGAGTAAACATGGTGCGAAACCGATCTGTGGTTCCTCGAATTACCGACTCTGCTGGGTGCTTACGTCAACCGAATATTGGACGCATTGAAAACCACACGTTAAAAAACAACCTCTATTACCAATTACTCCAATATTGTGGCGACCATTTGCCTTTATTAGAGCATCGACGTACAGGCATACTTCTGAGGTGCCCTAGATAGTACAGAAAACCACCGTTTCGAGACGCGTAAAGACATGCAGCGAGTAGAGACCAAAGTATATTTTTAAAACTTTATTTTAAACTTTTCTATTCTTGACTTATTCGTAGTAGATAATAGAATAAATGGAGATTTCTGCCCACTCCACAGTTGACCGAATTTAATTTAGTACAATTAGCTGGAGCATACTCATTAAGCAGTTTATAGACGCAGGAAAAGCACGTGTCGAGCGAAAAGTAAGCAATGCGTTGCACCTTTCATGAATGGAGTCCTACGACTTTACAGTAAAACACATTTATAAAGTGATATTTATCCTACATTTGACTAACGGATAGACGGTTATGGTCAGATCAACTCAATTCGTTTATGAAGAGTGTTTTTTTCGGAGCTAACAGCTGTTACCTGATTTGTACTCAGTTTGGTTTGCCAGTTTATAATGAACAGACATACCCGAAACAACGTTTCGAAACCATGTAAATTCATTACCAAAATAATTGTTCGGTTCGTGCGTTACATCGCTTGCTTCGTCTAATATTCGATTGACGTAATACCTCAGCAGAGTCGGTACTATGAGGAACCGGTTCGCGACGGTGTTTTCTGTACCATCTAGAGCACCTAAAAAGTATCCGTGAGTATCGATGCCCTAATAAAGTCAAATAAGCGTCACATTCTTCGAATAGTGTTCATATAATACTTCAGCAGTGTCGGTACTATGAGGAACCATGGATCGGTATCGCCGCACGCTTACTTTAGTAGATAATGCTCACACTTAGAGATTCCATACAATGTTCACCGTACACGCTATTGCTGCTGTTGTGTGCTCTGTACTGGGTCCATCCGCCAACGCCCGCAACAATTAGAGCTCTGATCATCCACTTTTTGAAAGATTTTGCGGAAGGATCTTGGTTTGTTGACTTATAAAATCCAACTTTGATAAGGATTGAAGCCGAACGATCGTCAAGCGCGTCACACGTTCGATGAATTGGCCAAAAAGGAGATGGCCACTGATCCCACTTTTCCCAGCTCTATTTTTTTTGTTGAGACGCTGTTACATTCTCCAACAGTCACTGTTTGATGTCTGCTCCAAAAATGAAGCCGGTCATGATGTTGCAGTCAATGGCTAACTCCATGCAGCCATGATTAATAACTTTTTTGTGCCTGAATTGGAAGGTGTTGATTTGGACGACCATTGGTTCTAACAAGATTTATTTTATTGAAGGAAATTTTTTGCGAGATCGTTCGATTTCTCACCATCAAACTGCTTTTTGTCTAGGTAGATAAGACGGGGATAATTGGCGCCTTGGAAGAAATTTTTGGCGCGTTATTGCTCACATACCGCTCCGAATTCTGCAAAAAGTGACCGAGTATTGGACCTTTCGCACTCATTAAGCAGTTTATGGGCGCTGGCAATTCCTTATATTTTTATTAAAGCTAAATTCTTGGCTACATGTCTAAAAAAAACACGCTTCATAACTATATCGGTATAAACCTTGATGAGTTCATATTTTCACTACTTATTGCCTAAGGTTTCAAAAAAATTTTTCATTTTTTTCTTATCCAAAGACTTTATTTGCATATATTTAACTCGATTATTCACATTCTCGAATTTCCACTGTTTTCGTTTACTGGTCTAGTCAAAAGTAATTAATTCATTATCGTCAGCGAAACTATTTTCGAACACCTGCTATTATCCGAATTAGTTTACACTAATTTTTAAGTTAGTTTTACTTTGCGTTTAACACTTTAACGCCTACAAGTGCCATAACCGTTAATAGACGATAAACTTGTCAATACAAAAATTCTATATAAGTGTAAGCACACTTTTAGGCGCTTCACCAGTTGAATATAAGTGAATTTTTGGAAACGTGTCAAGCGAAATGCATAGACTTCTGTGTAAATTCGAGCAAGTAGCGATGCGTGTATTTCCATCAGACGTCCGACGAGGACAAATTGGTTCTATCGAATTTAATATTTGGTTATCACAAATGACCGGAGTTCCATTACCGCCGTCATTCGTGCCGTTACGACGTCGCTTTGTGAGCAATTGTTTATTGCTCTTGTGTGGAAGCTTTTTGTGTTTCGTACATTTTATGTATACGATATTCGAATTCTATGATTTATACATCGTTTGGCCGGATTTCTATGCGTTCACACAGAATTTCTGCTTGACCATGTCACATTTCGCGGGCGCTCTGAAGGTGAAGTTTTTATTTTTCATTTATTTTGATATTTCTTATCAATTCTACTAATGCATACTCGTATATGTAGATCATCAACCTTTTATGTCGCTTGAAAACAGTGCAGAGGGCAATTTTAAAGTTGAAACAAGCGACCAAAACTTATATAAGAACCGATGCTCAGGTAATTTATGCTTTGAATTGTACAATAAAAACATTAAAATTATGTAATACACGATATTTGTATAAAAATAAAAAAATATGCTTTTAAAATTTTACTACAAATATATTTCATTATACTTATCTCCTCATAGCGTCAGATTTTCGATCGTGCTGAGGTGGAAAATAAACTTTTTCTAGTAATCTACGCGACCGTGATCGGTTTCACTGGTTTTACAGCGATGATATTGGTTTTTATAAGTGAGTAAAACTCAAAGATAATAAGGTGAAAAAATGAATATTTAAGAAAAAACAGTTCATAATGAAATACAAAAATTAAATAAAAAATAATAAAATAAAATAAATCTCAATAAAATAATATAAATTAAAATTAAATTAAGTTAAATTAAATTAAATTAAATTAAATTAATAAAAAATGAAATTAAATAATTTAACTAAAGTAAAATAAACTGCTATAATATAAAATAAAGTATAAAAACAAATAAAATAAGATAAAATAAAATGAAATTTAATAAAATATAATACAAAACACAAACGAGAAAATATAAAATTAAATGAAAAATTTAATAAAATAAATTTAAATAAAGTAAAGTAAATAAACTTATATAATATAAAATTAAATTAGTTTAATATAAAATGTAAAAAAGTAAAATGAAATAAAATACAACGAAATAATATAAAATAAAATGAAAGATAATAAGAGAAAATTAAAAAATGCAAAATTATATAAAATAAAATAAACAAGAATAAATAAATTAAAAAAAATGAAATAAGAAATAATATAAATATAATAACATTAAATAAATTAAAATAAATAAAATGAAAAAAAATATAATACAATATAAAAAAAAAATATAATAAAATAAAATAAATCGAAATAAAATAAAACAAAAAATTAAAATTAAATAATTCAAGAAAAAAAAATATTAAATTAAATTAAAAAAAAATAAAATGACAGCGAAAGCAAAATCATGTAAAATAAAATAGACGAAAATGAGATAGATTAAAATAAAAATAAATAAAAAAATGAGTAAAAAGTAAAAAAAAAATGAAAAAAAAAAATAAAAAAGGGATAAATAAACTAATATAATATAAAATAAAAAGATAATAAAATAAGGTACAATTAAATAATATAAAATAAAATGAAATGTAATAAAATAAATAAAATAATAATTATTATTATGAACATTATAAAATAAAATTAAAAAAGAAAAATTATATAAAATCAAATAAACGAAAATAAGATAGATTAAAAAAATTTAAATAAAACAAAATAAAGAAAATAAAATCAAGTAAACTAATATAATACAAAATAAATATTTAATAATATAAAATAAAACTAAGAGAATGAAAAAGTATAAATAAAATAATTTAAAATAAAATAAAAATAAATTAATTAAAAAGAAATTGGAAGATGAGAAAAGAAAATCAGAGAAGGAAAATTATATAAAATAAAATAAAAAAATAAGATAAGATTAAAAAATAAAATAAAATGAAAGAAAAAAAACGAAATATAATAAAATAAAATAAACTACAATAATACGAACTACACCTGAGTACAAAGTTCGTTCGGTTTTTATCTAAGAGATGGCGTTATTGTCCAGATGCGCCACGCGTCGGGAGGCCTATCGTGGTTTGCTAGGTTCCGTTCCGGTAATTTCGATATCAAAGATGCACGACGAGTCGGGAGGCCTATCGTCGAAAAATGCGATAAAATCATGGAAATAGTGGAAACAGACCGTCACGTGAGCACTCATTTAATTGCTGAGGAACTAAAGATAAGCCAGAAAACCGTTTGGAACCATTTGCTTAACCTTGGATTCAAAGAAAAGATCGATGTTTGGGTGCCCCACAAACTAACGCAAAAAAACATGGTGGACCGAATTTCCATCTGCGAATCGCTGCTGAACCGCAACAAAATCCACCCGTTTCTGAAGCGGATTGTGACTGGGGATGAAAAAGAAGTTGGCCTCAAGAGAGGCCTATGAAAATTTGCTCTTCGAGTTTTTTGCCAATAGGGACGCATCCTTCTACGAGAGGGGTATAATGAAGTTGGCATCTCCTTGGCAACAAGTTTACGTACAAAACGGCGTATATTTGACTTAAATCGGACAAATGTACACAAAGTTAAAATATTTAGAAAAATCAATAAAAAAAAATCGAACTAACCTTTTACTAAAAATTAAAAAAAACAAGAAAACAAAATATAAAATTAAAATAAAATAATTTAAAATAAAACCAAACAAAAACCAGATAAAATAAAAATAAATAAAATTATATAAAATAAATTAAGCGATTTTAAGGTAAATAATGTCTTCTCAAAACGAGTCAAATTTACCATCTTATCTTTTCAGATCCCGATATGGCTGGAAAAATATTTCCTTATCGCGTTGCATTACCCGCATGGTTACCCTTACCCGTACGGGTTGCATATATCGGTACTACCGATTTTATGTTCGCTGTACAAATTGTGACCGTTGATTATTTAAACATTGGCATGATGAATTTATTGCGCTGTCATTTGAATGTCATGAAGTCATCATTTGATGAATTGAATTTCAATGTAAAATGTATGAAAAGTGATATAAAACGCATTAGGGATCCTAATGAACGATTAGCAGATATTGTACGGCATCATTGTGTATTAAAGTCGTAAGTTGTTTTGAGAGAATTGGAGTTTCCTTCTTCCTCTGTCACAATCAGCTGACTTGTTGACGTCATTAAAAATATTAATATTTTTTTACTCTTTCTCTTTAGTGTTCGCGATGATGTGGAGCAGATTTTTCGTCTACCCGTTTTGTTGCAATTCTTCACTTCATTGGTTATCTCTGCAGTCACCGGTTTTCAGGCCACGATATACTCTAGCAATTTTAAAAGCGAGCTGATCATCTATTTCTATTGTTTCTGCATCTTTACACAACTTTTCGGCTACTGTTGGTTTGGTAATGAGGTTAATGAGCAGGTACGCCTGGTTTTTGGCAGAAAGTTCTGATAAAAAAAAAGAAATTTAATCTTTTATTTATTTAATTTTTAGAATAAAACACTCGCGGCACGAGGTTACAGCTCTTCTTGGTATTATTTCGATAATCGTTTTCGAAAATCACTTGCGATTTTCCTCGTTAATGCTCAGCAACCTTTTGATTTTACTGGCGGTGGTTTTGTGGCGCTATCATTGCCCAGTTTTACGGGTATAATGAGTAAGGCCTACAGTTTTATTGCAGTTTTGCGTCAAATGTATGATCGTTGAGTGATTGCTTGGATGACTTCCGACAAACTAATTAATTTGACAGTTTATAAAATTAACTTTTAATTATTTCATTTGTGACCATCGGCGCGAATCTCATACAAATAAAAAATAATATAATTTAAAGTTATGGTTAGTGGAGGGGTGGGATAGATATCGGAAGAGTGTGAGTATGGAGTCAACCATTGACAAGATATTCATATGAGCTAGATCTTAAAAAAAACCCGTGAAAAGACGATCTTCACACAACCTATTTGTCGATCTTAAATCAGCATCCGACAGCACGAAAAATAGCTGCCTGTACGCCGATATGCCTGAATTCGGTACCACCGCAAAACTTATACGGCTGTATAGATTGACGTTAAGCAACACCAAAACTTCCCTCAGGATAAGAGGATATTTCCAAGCTATTCCCGTATAAACACAAACAATAATGACAGCCTGAAAATCCAGCACAGAATCACTCTTGCCAACAGGTGCAATTGATTAGTAAAGTCCTCTCCCGACGAACGAAAACCAAACTCTACAAGTTCGAAAGAAAGTTTTCGTGTAAGATTTGTGGACCTCTACGAGTTGATAACAACAAATACCGCAGATGATGGAACGATGAGCTGTATGAGATATACGGCGACATTGGTACAGTTCAGCGAATCAAGAAACAGCAGCTGTGGTGGCCAGGTTTTGTGTTACGGATCTATAAGAATACTTTAGCTTTGAAAGTTTTCGCTGCAGTACCCACCGTTGGCAAGCCCAGGCAGAGAGGCTCTTGTTGTACTTGGTATTTCCGATTGTAGCCAGTAAAGAAAGAGAACAGCGTATACACAATGGCTTGAATACCAATTTCCTTCCGAAGTTCAAGAAGTAGTTGAGCCTACTTCCAGTTGTTGGCTGCGCTGGGGGATGGACTCTCGGATTTACTTCGAGGCTTCGGTGCGTACTGTTCGATATCTCTGATGATGCGCATTTTCTACTACAGGAAACTTGTTGCGAAGCCGATCCATGGTTGCTCGAACTGCCGACTCCGCTGGGTGTTTATGTGAACAGTATAATAGAAGAACCAAGTGATGCGTTGCGCGAACCGAACCATTAATTTGGTAATAAATTTACATGATTTGCACACATTGTTCCGGAGAGAGTCTGTACATTATGATATGGCAAATCAAACTGAGCGTAATTCAAGTAACAGCTGTGAAAAAGATCATCCCCGAAAAAATATTGTCTCATTGAGAACCACACGTCTGGAATACACACTTTACATATGGATCAAAAAAGAGTTTACATATATATACATATTTACATGAAGTACAGAATGTTTCGGGATATCGTTTTTTTCGATATTCGCGGTTTCGTTCAACTTGAATGCGTTCCAATGGGACTAACGGTCAATAAAGAGCATTATTTGAGCGTTTTGCTTGAATCTACTCTGTTTGCGCGAAAATATCCGCCGCAAACGACCGGAATTGTGGGCTAACAATGCGCTCTCGCAACGAGCTCTGGTTGTGAACGATTTTAATACCAGAATTCGTTCAATACCATCGATAAGCCAGCACGTTCAGCGGATTTGGCCCCATGCGATTTTTTTGCTTCCAAAACTCCAGTTGCCACTCCGTGGAACCCGTTTCGACTCGATTGATGCAGTAAAAGAAAATTCACAGAGGGAACTGAGGTCGTTTGATTTCAACAGCTGCTGCAAACAAACCAGTTGATAGATCGCGCTCATTTTTGGTGTAGCAATTAAGGACAGTGCTACCAACCGCAAAAACTGTTAAAAATATTCAGCGCGAGCAGTTTAAATGACATTTTCAGGAAACTTTGTGGTCTTAAGGTGTATACATTTTACTTTGCTTTCCACGCTCTAATTATAAATGAGTGAAGTGCATTAGTACTTTCAATCTTTGTGGAGTCTGCGTCATACTTGATGTCTTACAGAAGGTTGATAGTTAATTTTTTTTTTTTTTTTTTTTTTTTTTTTAAATATGAGAAGATTAAGAATTATGCATTATATCCTAAGTGCTTGTGTGCAGTCATTGTGGAATTGCTTATCTTCCATTTCTTCGCTTTGCACTTGACCTTGTCTCTTTTTCTACTCACATACATATGTACATTTGTAGGTGATTGAAAATAAATTATAGATTAAGCCCAGTTGCATGTGTTTTTGTTGAAGTTGAAGGCAGCTCTCGTGCAATGAGGATGAATGGCGCCTGTTGGACTTTAGCCAAAAAGCTAAGTGTATCCCAAATATCGAGGAAAGGTAACACTAAATGCAGGCCTCCGATCCACTTTCAATTAACTAATTTACATAAAGAGCTTACTAACTTACTTACTTTATTGGCGCACAGAACGAAAACTTTCAAAGCTGGAGAATTTGCCTCCATCCGGACCACATGGCCAACGCAGCCGCTGCTGTTTGATTCTCTGAACTATATAAATGTCGCCGTATATCTCGTACATTTCAAAGCTGCATCGTCTGCCGCCATAAAACTTTCGCAAACCTTTCTCTCGGAAACTCCTAACGCCGACTCATCAGATGTTGTCATCGTCAATGCTTCCGCACTACATAGCAGGACGGGAACGATGAGGGACTTGTAGAGTTTGGTTTTCGTTCGTCGCGAGAGGACTTTACTTTGCTTACTCTGTTCAAAGTATCACCTATTGGCAAGAGTGATTTTGCGCTTGATTTCTTAGCTGACAGCGCTGTTAGTGTTTTTAAGGCTGGTTCCAATAAAGACGAAGTTATCTACTAGTTATGACTGCCGGCAGTGACGTGGTCAACGAGTAACGAATGCGACTCGTCTTTGTTTGATGACAGGAGATATTTCGTCTTGTGCTCATTCACTACTAGAGCCATTCGATTCGCCTGGGCGCAAATCAACGATATGTTGAAAAATTCTGCTTTGATGCTGATTGTGGCGAGACGCTCATCCACTGGATGCCAGTACTCGACGACGGAGTCTCTTTCCCTGCACAAATTCAACACCAATTCTTCGCTCTTTTATATGGCCGCTGTAGCAAATGTCACAAGAATTTTCGCTTTCGTCCTTTTCCCATCGATTGCATTTCTTGGACGGCGGTGATGTCAACCTTTATTCTTACGAGGACGTCAAAAAGCTGGGCAGCGGCACCTTCCCAATTAAGGGACCGGATATTTCTCGTTTGCTGGGATCGTCAACAGAAAGGGGGTATCTCATCCGACCTAATTTCTACGTGGCGGGTCTTAAACCCAGCGCACAACCTCGTTAAGTGAGTAAGTTTAAAGTTTTTACACATTTATATAGCGCAACGCTTGCTTCAAGACCGACGCCCGCTCGCAGCCGCACCTCTGATGAACAGACGCTGCAATTAGGCTTCAGAGGACCCTTAAACCGAATAATTCGGAGTGGCTCCACTGAAGCTTCCTCTCTCATTAGCCGTGACGCAAGGCTCCACACGGGCTGGTTACCGCATCTTGCACAAAGGTTGCTCACGTTTTCAAGGTGCGTCGTGGAAGCAAGAGTAGGAATTGAGTATAGCCTCGCAACTGTAACCGCATACCCAGAAGCTTGATCACAACCCATTAATATAATCTAATGTATACTAAAATAAAACAAAATAAAGTTAAATAAAAAAAATTTCATAAGATAAATTAAAATAAATTACAAGAAAATGAAATAAAATTAATTAAAATAGAATAAAAAAAAAAACAAAATAAAATAAATTGAAATAAAATAGAATAAAAAAATAAAATAAATTGAAATAAAATAGAATAAAATAATAAAATAACTTAAATAAATAAAATCAAAGATGACAAAAGCAAATAAAAAATTTTAAATAAACGAAAATAAGATAGATTAAAAATTTAGAAACAAAATAAGAAGAAGAAAAAATAAATAAATTAAGAAATTAAAATAAAATAAATTAAAAAATTTAAATAAAATAATATTGTCAGATATAAAATAAAATAGAATAGAATAAAAAAGAACACAAAATAAATTAAAATTAATTAAAATAAAATAAAATAAAATAAAATAAAAT